TGATTGGCTCAAAGGGTTGTTCAACAAAATATCCAAATATTACTTTACGGATCCCATGATGCTTGTTTTTTTGTTTGTGTCTATATAATATTTTGGCATGATTTCTTAAAACACAGAGTTTCACTGTATTTTCTCTCTGCTAAGTTCGACTTCTAGGCTTTTTTGCTGCTGGTGCTCTTAAACTCCCTATATGGTGATGGTTAGATTTTTTTTTTAAATCATTGTTAGTATCTAAAGTCTGATACATGTTTGTTTTCCTTCCTAAAGCGGTCATTTCAATGGCTATAGGTCAACCAGTGTCCTTTTTTGGACTGTCTGCAGTTTTCTGTCTTCAACTGGACTCAGCTGCACGTTGCTGGACTCTGTTTACTGATCCATGTTTGCCTAGAGTTCTGTTTGTCTGCCCTCTGAACACTGACATGATCCAATGCTGTCTGTACACTTTTTTTTTTTTTATCTTAAATCATTACATAATATAAGGACAAGTAGACTGCAGATGTTAGTTGCATATCAGTGTTTTGCAATGGGGAGGGGGTTTATTGGGGGATCAGACTATAAAACCTTCAGCTGTGCTCCTGCAGCAGGGTCTTCCCAGTGGCACAGTATGTATACGGCTTCACTGCACTTTTACATCGTCATATAACCTTTTAAACACGTTAAAAAAAACTAACTGTGGTGCACATAGATTAAATTGCATAATTTGAAAATAGGTAAATGTTGTTTTTTCTGCAGGTTTGCACTGAAAAAATGAGACTTTCAGCCGTCCTTTTCGTCATTGCCGTCTCGGTGGCACTGTCTGGTAATTGTATACCTCTCCTTTGTGTCTTTATGTGCAAATCTGCACATGTAAAAAAGTATACATGTTACGTTTTTAACTGAAGGGTGATGGCCTACAAGTTTAAAGGTGAATGATTAGACAATTGTTTGGTTATTTGTTAAACAGAATGTGTATGGTTTAAGATTTACTTCCAGCAAAATCTGTTTAAAAAATCTGCTTCCAGCTTCTGAAATCTGAATATTTCTGGATTTCTTTGTCTTCTGTTGTAGTAAACTGAATACTTGTACTTGTTAATTTGTTCAATAGTGATGTTTTGCCTGCTCTTTTGCACACTCTCTTGACAAAACCTTGTTTCTCGTCTCTTAGGGAGTGTCACAATTAAGTCCTTGGTATTCCCCGCTGAATCAAGTGACAGTTATGTTGAGTTGGTCCCTCTGAAACCGATGGAGATGAGGGCATTCACTCTGTGCATGAACGTGGCCACGGAGCTCAAAGGCGAGCGAGAGGTCATCTTCTTTGCATACCGGACTAGAGACTTTGACGAGCTGAATGTGTGGCGCGAACTGGACGGCAGGTAGAGTATTTGAAGACCAACAACATGCTGGTTTTAGATTTAAGATTCAAGATTTAAGATGGATGTGACTATATGTTGACACTACTAACATCAATTAAAATTAATCAATTAAAATACTACTGATACTAATACATTATTGCATAATCAGGCTAATGCACAGAGCTGAGGAACTTTACCTTTTACCTTTATTTTGCATTGTTAAACTCTGCATTAAAGGATCCATACAAATTATGTGTGTGTGCAGATTGTCTTTCGCCCTGAGTGGAGAGAGTGTTTACTTCGACGTCCCTCAGCTCGGTGCCCTGAGGACGCACCTGTGCGTCACCTGGGATTCCAAGTCAGGTGCAGCTGCCATCTTCATGGATGGGAGGAAAAGCTTGACCAAAATCTACAAGAAGGGTCACACCATCCGCTCAGGAGGCAAAGTCCTCCTTGGGCAAGATCCGGATGTTTACATGGGTGAATATGATGCCAAACAGAGTTTTGTTGGGGAGATCTGTGACCTTAACATGTGGGACACTGTTCTGTCAGACAGCACAATCAAAGACCTTGTCTCTGGGAAGAAAGTCGAAAGAGGAAATGTTTTCGACTGGGAAACCACACAGCCTAAAATTTCCGGGAGGGTAGAGGTCATCGATTGTGAACAATAGCTTCTACTTTAACAAAAATGTTGTAATCACATATAAGGCAACATGAAGGTCTGCAGTCAATACAAGTCTTCAATATCCCTGTATGACATATTTATTGATGAAAATACAAATCTGTGAAACAATATCAATGAATTTTACTCTCGTCTAATAAAAAATTGTGCTTAAATTGTCAGTTGTGGTTAAATATATTACATGATCAGTACTCATCTCACAGACATAACATTGCTCTTTATTTTCCACACTTCCATGTGTTTCATACATCAGATCATTCTTAATTTAGATTTGGATGACTGCTATGACACAACCTGCACTGATTTTCAACCACTTGTGAATTTTATACTAGAACTCTAACACTAGTACATGTAATGTTCGCCCTGAAAAACAAAAGAAAAAAAATCGATTTATAAAAGTCAAGACTCAACTATCAAGCAGCCAAAGCACCCCAGCCACTCAGCTTAATCCATCTATTTATAAAAGCAAATGTGATGAGATTTGACATTTCTGATTTTCCAAAAGTAAGGTAGAATTGGGTGCAAATTTTTTTTCAAAATAACCTGTATTTGAGCTGACACATTTTCAACATAAAAACTACAGGTTGAAGTGCCACATAATAAGGCCAGAAAAACAGTTTGGTATCATTATTTAAAGTATTATATATCAAATATTGTTTGGCAGATAAGACAGATAATGTCCAATAGGCACTGATAAATTGAACAACCTATTAAAATCGAAGTTTACGTTGTTGTAGCTCCCTCTTGTGGCTTTCTAGGAGAAGGACAGCTGTTTGTACCGTTGGGTAAATCTGTTTTTAAATTATTATAATATGAATATATGTTTACATATGTTTAGTTACATGATTGTTATGACTTTTATGAGGTATGGATTTGAAAAACATTTTTTTCATTTTTCTTATATATGTGACCCTTTTGTCATTCAGCTGAGATCAGAAGAATGTACACAATGAATGTTCGCAAGAAAAGGAGGATATCACGGTTTTGCATTTCTCAGGCACGGACGGGGTTCGAACCCGCGATCTTCGGTTTACGAGACCGACGCCTTACCACTTGGCCACCGCGCCTGGTAATGTAAATGGCGCGTTGTATGGGTACTTACGGTATTTCAGATTCCGATCGGTTTAGCCTTCTGATTTGTCTACTTCTTTAAAGAGTTGATGGTAGATTCAACATGCGTCCACAGGTGATCGATAAGCTCAACTACAGGGAGGAAACACTATTCAAAACTCCATTCAAAGGATGTCCTATTTTGACTTTCTCCGCAGGTAGCGGTAAAGTCGTGTTGTCGCGCAGGCTGAATAATTTTCATCACCATTCAGAAGTACGCTGGCATGGAACAACCAATATACACACATAACACTGACGATTCAGCAAACTTTAGAAAGTGTTCGTCTGTGTTAGCTTTTTAGTTTCTATCTACAGAATCAGCGTACACTTGAGAGGAGTTGATGGGATTAACCCATAAAAATCATCTCTAAAGATTTCATATGACTGCCGAATGCCCCCGAAGATGCCACGCCTAATTTTAAAACATCTAAGCTTTTGTTTTATCCATTATATTTTTGACAGTCAATGAAGTCATAAAAAGCAATATATTTTCGAAATGAAGTTTGGCGTACCTTTTTTCGCCAGGGGAATCTTGATGGAGAACACACCCGGAAGTAGACGCAGGGGCTGACAGCAGATGGGATTTTATTGAAACACAGTTGCTGCAGATGTAATGCGATGATGTGAAATGAACATGTTTGGGATGGTAGAAAGACTGTCCGGGTCTGGTGAATTTCAGAAGTAGCTAATGCTGTAAGTAATGGCGGTCCGTGACAAATCTGAGCTAGTTATTGATAAGGGACAAGCCTGTAGCTAACACGTTAGCTTGCTAGCAGCGATTCTGTGTAACTTTCTGTACAAGATGCTTTATTCATGTATTTATTTTTGCCACACTCATAGTTTGTTGCGCTGACACTCGTGTCGTTTTGCACATGTAAAGGCATTTAGCAGGCCGCGTTACCTGCGTAGCTGATGGAGAGCATTTAAACAGTGGCGGAACACTAAAATGGGGAGCCTCCTCACATGCAGTTTCAGTGCCCCCACTCCCTCCCCTCAAGCCTCATTTCCATAAAGCTTAGTGTATGTATATGGGTCAGCCTGAACTCCATTCATAGAATTTTGCAGGAGTAAGACTTCTTGCAAATGACTGAACCATTTGCACAACTGTACATTTCAAGAAGCTGCTACTACATTGCACTGCTATCACCTCAATAAGCTGTCACTATATTGCACTGCCACCAGTGTACATAGGTTGGTTTTTATGTAATTTATTTTATTTATACTGTGTTTTGATCCTTTTTAAAATGTATGGCACTAATACAAGATGAGAGCAAAAAGTCTTTTGGTTCCTCTGTATGCCCTATACAGAGAGAAATTGACAATAAAAACCTTCTATTCTCTAAACAGGCTTTTCAGTCAACTTGTGTAATTGAATAATTTAAAACAACCTGCTTCAGCTACTTTAACACATGCTGGATGTGTAACCTATAGAGAACAATGTGTAATGCTGTCTCCGTATGTCTTTTCAATCAATATTTCACCAATCTGGCCTTATACCTGTCAATCTCCTCACTTATTTCTTACCATGCATAATTGATCTTGTTTTTGATGCAGTAATGCTTCTATTGTATATTTCCTAACACCTGAAAAGAAAAGAAAAATCAAATTAGCCTCCTCCCAATGGCTTCAATGAGGCTTCCATTCATTCTTAAAGAAATGCATTTCCTTGACTTGAACACCAGGGACCATAGTCTGTGTATTATGCAGAGTTGTAGACATCAAACAAAACTTTGAGAAGAACAAGGTGTGAGAACCAATTCATGCAGGGTGCACCTGATGTACATTTTTCCCTCCACCCAAATTTGCAACGGTCCACGGGGACCCCTCTGCAGACATCTGTGTGCATCCCAAAAATAGTGACCTTGTCTGTACTGCAAGTGCGTCGACTCTCTGCACATGCACCAAGAAAATAAATGATGCTTGTTATGTGAGGAGACTGTATGAGGACTTTCTTGTCTTTACAATTCATGATTTAAAGAGTTGTTATTGAAGTGGTCACTCCAGAACTTGGGGTTGCTTTGGTTTGTAAATGCTTTCCATCAGCAGTGCCCAAACACAGTGTGAAGTTCTAAGTTCACCAGAAGTCCTGTGTTAAGTCCACTCATTGTGCTCGACACACCATGAGAGTTATAGTATTAACACAGTGCTACAACTTCATCTTTATTTAGCTGCTAAGTGTAAAGTCACAGCTTTTAGAAGGGAGACCTGTTTTATCTATTGCACCATTAACAGAACCTTATGTGTGTCTACTGTCCACTTTCAAAGTCCATTCCTGGATTTGTGGCAGATCTTTTTTTATGTCTTTAAATACGTACTTACTGCTGCCCTTGTAGCGCAACCGGCACTTACAAATTCTGGACTGCATGTCGACATCCATGGAGGGGTCTGCACAGACTATTGCGGACATTTATGTCACTCGAACTAGCCACCAAGTCTTTCATACTCCTGGATGCAGACTGGCCTTATCCCTTAATAGACTAATTGCCACGCTTGTATGAATATATGTTTTAGTGATTCTAAAAAAAAAAAACTAAATAGATGAGACTTTTGTTATGCTGTTGACACAAAAACCTGAGCTAAATTATTTTTTATATTGTTCAAAGTTTAAGACACTGTGAATTGTCACTGCCAGTGGATTTCAGCCTTGATGTTCATGTCTAGCTTTGCTCAATGAAACCTCTGTATGTTCCAGTGTATGACGGAGCCCGACTGACCTGCAGCCGAGCCTCCCTGTCTGCTTCACCATGCCGCTGGTGGTGGATGCTGTGTGGGCGCTGTGGAGCATCGCGGCCGGCATCTACGACTACTTCCACACCAGTGCCATGGAGGAGAGGATCCACACGCTGGAGAACGTCCTCTCTATCCACCAGTTTGTGATCGCTGCCCTGTCGGCGGGCCTCATCCTGCTCATGACGTACATACTATTGAGAAAACACTAAAACCCAGGCTGACCTGGGCTTCTCCAGCCAAGCCCAAGCACCCAGTACATGTCGTTTTCATTGCAGGATGTTTTTCATTATCCAGGGTAACTTCCATCCTTATGTGGGCCAGAGTCAGTTTGGTTGAAGATCGAGCATGCTCAGCTATGATGATGATGGCCCAGATGAAGTCAGAAGTGCTGATGGGCACCGACAATGAACAAAACTCCATCAACGCAGTCTCTGAAAACACGAGTACACTTCGGGTGTCGGGCGCTTGGTCAGTCTGTCTGTCGCTGTACTTTAAATGTTAAACTAGCCTGAAACGGTCTACAGACCATCGTCCACATTAATACAAAAAAACAAAAAAAACAGCTTCTCAAGGTAACTTTGCACATCTTTATCCAAGCTTGAAGTATTTCACTGTTTTGTTGGTGATGACAGCTTTTTATGAAAAGTGGAAACACTTTTGATTTGTTACAGAAACAAAGTGGGACGGTGGTTGCCACTGAGTTTTTTAACCCTATTATTTTAAGATGACAACATAATTACCTCCACATCAACTATTTTCTCATGCTTACAAATTAATCATGTTACTTTTCTGATTTTTTTGTTCCACTTATTAAGTAAACGACCAGTAGCAGTTCATACAGATTAACTGATTTGAATTTGTTGAAAATTATTTGACAAATGATGCCCATAACAGAAAACAGCATCAGAGTTAGATTTTTGTACAAAAATTGGATTTCAATTCACTTTAATGTTTCTTTTCATATTTATTTATTTATCAAAAGACCCAAGACAAAGACTAATGAATAAAATTAGAAACAAAGTGATCTTAAATCTGCATTTCCCATTGATAACTTTATCAAGCACTGGAATTTCATCCATCATTAGGGTAAGATTGTATCATATTTGTTAGGTTTTAGTGGGACCGGGTTGCCAAATAATAGTAGGTTCCGCTCTTTAACACTGGTCTTGGATCATGCGACTTCGTGGATGTGGTTAAACGGAAGTTCATCACATCAAACATCCCATCTCCGACGTCGGTCCTAGCTCGCAGAGTTAGTTCAAAGGCTGGAAGTGATCTCGTTGCACTGTTAAAGCAAAGACTATAATCCGAGCAGAGATTTTAATGCCTATGGCGGTTGTGGTTTGTAATTATCCTGGAGTAACAGGATAAGCAGAAAAAAAAACACTTCAAACACTGGGACGTTAATTCATCCTTTATGTGATTTCTGTTTTCTTGCTGAGGAGAAAATGTTGGATGTTAAGTATTTTATTTAGTGTTGTCTAATGTGCTTTGCAAAGGCAGCTTCTGTGTGTGTTTAATTTGTCCGGGTTTTCTTTTTTTTTCCTTTTATGTCTGTGTTTCAAATGATTTAGAGTTACTTGGTTGCTGTCACTGCTGTACCTGCTTACTCTCTGGGGTTCATTGCTACTGTACCGTATGCACTACTGTACATTTGACTCTGTTCAACCACTACCATGGCTACTATTAAAGGGAATATGTTTAAATAATAATCAGAATTTAAGTTGGAGCTGTTCTTTTTATAACTTCATCGTCCTTTTTTGTGTTAATATCTGCATTGGGAAGCATTTTTGTGTCCTTTTTAATGACAGAGTATTGTCATTTTAAATCAGGATATTTGCATTTGCATGTATTTTTCTCTTAATTTAATATAAATCAGGATTATTTTTGCAGAAACTGATTGGAAAGTGTTTGTAAGAAGAAAGTAAATCTTGCAGGCTGGTTAAAAAAATAAAAGACCAGAAGGACAGTTGAAGTATGTAGTTAAATTGGTATAATGGTAGTAAACAAATAGAATTCAAATAACTGGCATTGCACAACTTATCAGAAGATAGCGTTTATCAGTGTTGATACAATGTTCGCCCTGTACAAGTCAAGCCTGTACCTCATTCCACACTCAGAGCTGTCTGTGATTTCCACGCTGCAGTTAGTAGCACAGTGAAAATACATCTCCAGCGTGTAAGTTCAAGTGCTCTGTGCTCAGGAGCTATTTTAGTCCTCATTATGTTTTTGGGTCAGTGGTTTAGTCTGCTGGCAGCACACACTCACTTGCTTCCAACCATATCTGGAGAAATGATTGCCATGTAACATATCTCCCAAGGACACAGAAAGCCTCATGTTTCCCCCCTAAAAAAAAACTAACTTGGTGTTTTTATGAATCTATTAAAGCATAGTCGGCAAGATTTATGATAAAAATGCATCAATATTTCTGTTTGTAGAAAAAAAGAGTATGATGTGCTAATTATAGGAGCCTGACAAATTAATGAGTTATTAAAATATATGAATATCGAGATTTTACAGTTAAATATGATGATTAATGGCTTGATACTGGCTTGATTTCCACTTCATCTGACTGATGCTGCTTGATTCCTAAGACTAAAAATACCCATCAGTCAATTAGTGGCTGAATGTCATTTTAACTGGTGGATGTCTCTTAATTGGGGTTTTCTGAAAAAAACTGAGGAATCTATATTTATAAACAGGATTATAATTAATGACGAGTCTGGCAGGTGTATTCATTTAATTTTAAGAATGAATAATCTTTGCTAGACCCTTAAATTAAATAATTCATAGCTTTGTTTGTGTCAGGCACGGTGGTGGAAGAAGGATTCAGATTCTGTACTGAAGTAAAACCACACTGAAAACACTCCACTGGTCAGGCGGGTATTTGTTTACCTTGGTTACATGCCGCTTTGACAGTTTGAGGTTCAGTCTTTCAAATTGAAACAGTTTCATGTTAAATTGCAGATCAGATTTTACGGGGGTGCTTCATCGTACAGTTTTCCTTTTGATTTAGATTCAATTCAAGTTACTCTCTGATTTTGTGTGGTGTGCTTGGTTTTGAACTGTCAGTCCAGAAAACATCGTTTTAATGCATCAGGATTCAATCTATACACTATATGTCTTGCCACATGAAAACTTCCCATAAAAGTTTAAGTTGTGGAGCTGATTTGCTGCAGCTCAGCCATCTTTACTGCATTATAGGAAATTCCACACAGTCAAATCAATGAGATCATCAGCTGCATAAAAGAAGGATACAAAGAAACATCTTACTTGCATTACTTTGCACATTTAGCTGAAACCTTTTAAATAGAAGAAATGAAAAGAGCAAGACATTTGTGAATTATATATGTCTATACTTGAGAATGTGTGTGGTACCTATAATAAAATCTTCATGTCAGAGCTTTGGTTAAACTGCAGACAGTCAAGTGGGAGCTGACATCAGCTCCTTTACCAAAGAAACTCAGCAGAGGATGTACTTCCTGCAACAGCTGAAGAAGTTCAACCTGCCAAAGACAATGCATTTCTACACCTCCACCACTGAGTCCATCCTCACCTCTGTCTTTTTTCAACCACCACTCTTCTCTGACAGGAGGTTGCAGTCCATTAGGACCAAAACATCACGCCAATGAACAGCTTTTTCCCCAACAGCAGCCATCCTCATCACAAAGGCCAGAGACCCCCCAGTGGCACTGCCTCTATCTCCCCCATAATCCACTACAGACATGAACTCAATGATACATTCATGCACAGCTTAAAATTATTTGTAAAATGTATTATCCTTTTGCCAGTTTCAAGTTGTTTACACCACATACTGCAAGGTTGTGCACATTCCCAGGCAACTCATTTGCACTCACCCTGCACAATCTGTACAACTGCCTTATTTAAGTAACACTGTGAATAATGTATTACTTGATAATAACTTTGATCTGCAACGCTTGCATTTTATTAGACTTGTAAACTCTGCTTCTTATTCATCTCAAACACTTGCTCTTCACTTGACTTGCAACACTTGTTTTAAAATTAATCATTGAAATTTTCTCCTTGTTATTGTTATTATGAATTATGCACCAAATCACAAAGTCAAATTCCTCATATGTGAAAACGTACTTGGTGGTAAATATGATTCTTTTACCGATCTTTGTAGTTAACATGCATGAAAAAACTAAGTTAACTTTTAATGATTTTATCCTGTTTCACTTTTATTCAAACATCATTAACCTGTGCTATTTTCAGTTTTCAAGACGGAAATAAAAAAATGAGATCCAGGCCTATATTCGTTAAATATTCAGATGCCCTAACGATGCCATTTGCTTAAGTCTGTTCAGGAGACCTGGCTCGCCATGCAGCAGGCGGCAAACGTGTCCCCGTCTGCGCCTCCTGCTTCCAATTCATAGAATGAGACCGGCCAATATTCCAACCAATGAGAGCTCAGATTTTTACCAACAAGCGAGGTGATTGGATAAAGCTGTTAGAAGGCGGGATCTTTCAACACGAGTCATAGGGAAGCCGCAGCGTCCATTGGTCAAGGTATTAAAGTTTAGCCAAAAAAGGCGGAACTTATGCGGACTTTTGCCTTCAAACTAAAATGAAACAACTGCTAATAGTTACCTTTTTAGAAATGATTCGTCCAAAGTAGTCAGCGTTTTCATGGACATGTATTTCTGATTTCCACATTGGCATCATTATCACGCAAAAAAAAAGAATGATAAACACAGTAAACAATGTGTCTATCTAGATAACAATTTTGTTAAATTAGTTTTTATTTATTTTGAAAAATTTACCGGATTGCGTCTCTGTTATTTTGTGCTACTTTACCGTACCGCTAACTTCACTCGCCAACAGCCGCTCGGCGAGACATTAATCTGAATTTTGGTAAAATTATGGAATCGAAATCCCTGAACGCGTGTGTAATTTCTATGTTTATTCACATGTCCTTAATTAGCAGCTTTCGGGTTCTTAATTGGTGAAGTCAGAGGGCCAGACGATGCTAGCCGGTTAGCCCGGGTTGTTGCTAGCTGGCTAAGGAAGTTAGCCGGTTAGCTAGCAATCCGCGTCAGCTTGCCGGAGGCTGTTCTCTTGTTTCGCGCATTTCAAGCCTGTTCACCGACCTCAGTAACTGTTAAACCGGTTCCTAAACGTAAACGTTACAATATAGCCCTACCAATGTAAAATATAAAAGACAGAAACTTGCACGACCCGTTTTTAAAATGAGGAGTAAACAGTGTTTATCCTAAGCGGCTGGTTTTGTGCCAACGCTTGCTCTTTTGTTTTGACAAAGGAAGAGGACCTGAATTTCTTTTCTTTTTTTTTCACACCATTTCACATTTGGTCGTCGGACAGTTTTTTCTAGGATTGTTTTCCCCTCCCCAGTTTTGACTATGGCTCCACAAAAGCAGAGCTCCTCAGGTGGAAGTCACCCGGTGGGTTTTGGTTCTGGAGGAAAAGCCAACGGGTTGTACCAGTCGTCCTCCGCTGTGATGGCTGCAGCCAAGAAGCCCAACATGCAACTTATTCAAGCCGACCACGAGTTGTTTCTGCAGGCCTTCGAGAGTGAGTTTCTGCTGTCATCAAGTTTCATATTTAAAGATATCAGTCGTGGAGTTTACTCTTAAGGTCGCAGTAAGCTTTGCACTGGCCGTGTGAATGGTGGCTGCATAGCTGGAGGAGCAGATCATTTTACATGTGTAGAGCTGACCTACTCCATTCTTAAATTATCATCAACAAGTCGTGTAAGGTCATATCCACTTTGGTTTTAGGCATTTACATTCATTTCACGTGTTGACGGGCTGTCATGCTTTCTATTTCTGTCATATAACTTGTAATAACTGCACATTGTTTCAGTCGAGTTGGTGGAAAAAGAACATTAATCATAATGAATTTGCTGTTCAATGTGTCTGAGCAACATTTAAACAGGATTTACACAGGATTGTCTATCAGTGCATTTTAAGTTACTTTTATAGTCTCAAAATGTCAAACATAAACAAAACCAAAGTTGCCTCACCATAAAATGAGGCCCTCAAGTTAGTATAAAGCAGAAAAAAAGCTCACATTTTTGAAGATTATAGTGCCAAATTTCTTGTTTCACTCTGTAGTGAGTATATGCTTTTTGTTTGGCTTCATAGTTAGGATTCTACTATTTCATTTTCATCTGTTAACCAAGAGCAATGTGCTGTATTTATTTGCAGAACCAACCCAAATCTACAGGTTTCTTCGCACAAGGAACTTGATTGCTGTGAGTGTTGCCTTACTGTGAAAACAGTCGCATGCTGAATTTTACCTTTTAAGATAAGAGGAAACATTTCTGTATGACATGATATGTGGGCGTCTGACAGTGCTTTTTTTTCTCCCCCCCAATCTCTCCCTGTTACATTTCAGCCTATATTCTTGCACAGAACACTCACCTATATGTCCCACAGAAACTCAAGGAATAACGTCAAAAGGTAAAAGCTCACCGGGGTTGTTAATGTGTTCGTGTATTCATGATGGATATCCTCAAGTTGAAAAGTCAAACCTGTTTTACTTCAGCACGAGTTTTCATTAAACTTTCAGAACTTGTAGATCACGTGGTTTACATCAAAGGGAAGTGCAATATCTTACTCCCCGTGTGTCTTTACATTCTTGTTTCTTTCTGTTTTAAGTTTGTTGGATTGAAACCGGGTGTTGCGTAGCTGGTCTCTTAGAAAGCAGGTCAGCTGCTATCACGGGTAAAAGCCAACCGACATGTCGGCTCCTGGAGGTGGGGGCCAGCTCGATCAGTTAAAGCCGAGATAGAAGAAGCGTTTTCAGTTGGGCTGCTTTGCATACAGACGCTGCGTAAAAAAAAAGATCCTGCTGATACACATGGGGCTGCTTGTGGTTCAGTCTGCAGCCAAGGGATGTGTTAAAATACAGAGTGTCTCACGTGGATGTTGTGTTGCAGCTTTTGCATTTTATTCTGTAGTAAAAAAAAGAAAAGGACCAGTCTATGCAATTGCTTAAAGAATCGTGAAAAGTTAAGTGTTTTTTTTTTTTGTAGTAGCTGTACAAACACAAAGCAGGCACAAGTGAAAAATGTGTTTAAAGTTAGCTTTTCATTTGCAACTAGGATGTGTCTGTCAAGTTTTGATCAATGCAGTTTTTATAAATAGAGTTATACAGGTTTTTGTGGGAGGAGATTTGTCAAGAAACTTATTAACTGTCTAAAAGTAAGACATTGAAATGAATGTTGTGTAAGAATAGTATCATTGCTGTCAAACTTTCCAGTGATATCAAGCTTCCAGTAAACTGGTGACAGTGATTTTTCAGCTGGTAACCTCCGTTGTAAACAATAGGTGGTAAATCTTATGTATATGCAAATGAACAAAAAAGAAGAGAGGGACATAGTTAAAGCATTTAACTGTGTAATCTATTAACATGTAAGAGTTGCTGTTGTATTACAGTGTTTAGGTAGTGTTAGAAAAATGTAATTAACAAGTTATCTCATGTGTAACCACTTTTTGTCGATTTTTGTTTTGTTACAGAAACTTAAAAACAAAACATAAAGATGTTTTGAACAGTATGAATAATTTAATTCTTGATAATAATCCCTTTATAGTATGTCACAGTCATTACCAAATTGTGTCATGTTATTAAGAACTTTTTTCAGTCCATTCTTTGAAATGCACTTCTCTGAGTCACACTCATTTTTACTCACTGCTTGTGGACTAAAATGGCAGCTGGTAAATTCTGCGTATTCCTGGTTCGAAGTGGAGGTTGTGATCTAGGTGATCTAGGTCTTTTGCCGCTTAACTCAGTTTCACTTTCTGCTGTAGTCGCGCATGCTTTAGTCACATGAAACACAGCTTGTGATTTGAGATGAACTCATTCTGCATCGGGGCCCCCTCCGCAGATACTCGCTGTTCACAAAACAAAGGCAAACATAGAAAACAGGAAGGCAGTGGATTTGATAAATGAGATTAAAATGTCGGTACTGGCCTGTTCTTATTTGATCACAAAGTAGTGTTCGTGCAAAGCATTGTACACAGAGGTGGTTATCAAGTGTGTGTCCAGCCAAGTTTTTTCTCTTTATAAAGCTCTCTGACCTAAATTGACTCTGAAATCAGAATGTCTGAGCACAGTTTCTCTCATGTGCAGCCTCTTTGAAAGGGCTTTTTTCAAAGTGTTTCTATTACCAATTGTACATTTGCAGGCATCTGTATGTTTTATGCGCGTAATCATAAGCAAATTAAAGTAAAAGGCACCCAGCCAGCAGCATGTCCTGTAGAAGTCATTTCCCCTGGAGAACATTAAAACAATGGCATTCAGAGTAAAGTAGCTGAAATAGGAGCTTGCACGTCACCACCGTCTGTTGCTGGATGTTGTTGCTTTGCACGGCTACAAAAGTTGAACCAGGCTCATTTTTTCTCAGGAGCAAATGCAACAGTATTTTTCAAAACGAATAAGGTGGCGGCATTTTTGATTCAGCACTAATGTCTGTCTGAATGGAGCCCGAAGATGTAGCGGTTGCTTTCAGAATGCTGCGAGGCTCCGCGTAGCCTCACAGGTGTTTTCAGTTACTTTGGCTCATTAGACTGCTGCTCAGGGTAAAGTTGGACAGAACCTGAATTTATGTGAGGTGGCCAGACTCGATACTAATGTGTGCACTCCAAACCCTGACTGACACACTCCCAATTTTAACCAGGTGCTTTCCTTTTGATTTCAGCTAAGCACAAAAAAACAGCTCATGCCTCTGACAGCTCTGTAAATTAATCACAGTACCGTGTGCCAACATCAGCTAAACAATACAGACAAGTGGGGGAAAAAAAAAACAGAAAACCAGTTGATATTGATTAAACCTTGAACATGCTGCTGTCTCATAAGCTGCCTGCACAGCATTTAACTGAGTTTCACAGCAGCTGCCACTTTGTTTCAAGTGACTTTATGTGGCAGTTGCTTCAGTTCCTCTAGTGTGACTGGCAAACATGTAGCACGTGCCATCCATGTTTTTACATGGCACATGGGTGTAGTAGAAATTGACAAACATGAAGTAAACTGGAACCTTTACCGATTGCTATCAGTTCTGACAGCCTTCACTTTTAAGTCTTGGTTTCAAACTATCATTTCAAACTAATCTGTCTGGTCTATATTATTTAAAGCATCTCGTGTTACGTAAGCGTCTGCCTGAGTGCAACATGACCTGGATTAGGATTGAGTTGATATGTTGTGAGGGCGGGCGTAAAGTGGCCATCAAAAGCACAGTTAAAGCAATACTGTTAGTCAGTGAACTGAATTAATGTAGAAGAAACAAATTTGCCTCCTGAACGACTTGGGGGGGATATCAAAATGCAATTTTTCTGATAACTATTGCAGTTTGATTTGCAATATTATTTCTTAAAGCTACAGTTCAGCATTTACAATGTAATAGATTTAAAAGGTGTGATAGCTCTTTACCACATGAGATACCATCAAAATATGAACTAGTCTATATTCTAATGCAAAGAGAAGTACTGAAAAATATGAATTGATTCCAACCTGTATTTATCACATTCTTTAATTCTCATAGGACATGAACAGTTAGACAGAGAACACAAACGATTTAAAAAAAAAAGAAAAAATTAGGAAATTAATCCAACCTTTCTGTAGTCAGTCTCTGACATAGAAATATGTTGGCCGTTCTCTTTTGGCTCAGGAGCAGCATCTAAGTATTGCACATTTCGCAATCAAGTTAAATGATGTAATAATAATTCTTTAAAAAAAGCATTCTTTCAAATCTCTAACTTGGTCGGTAATCTATTAATTTTTCTGCCCCACTCCAACCTTTTGCATGTCTCGATGGAAATCTGGTTGTGTGGTTGCTAACTGCTACTTTTTGTCCAAATGCACAGGAAAAGCTCCAAGGTTGACAATCTGCTGTTCAAAGTGGAAAAGATGAGAGGTGAACAGGAGACTCACAGGTAACCGCTCAGTGCTGCTCGACCATCTGCTTCCCATTAGAGTTTCTAGAAAGCATTCAGCATGTGTCTGCCCAAGACAGTTTCTGGTCCACACCAAAAATAGCCCTGCTTTTTGTAACTGCTGCTCTGAGAATGTGAACCCAGTGCAGATTTGATCAATCATAACAGCACCAGTTTTAAGGACACATCTCTGAGGTGTTTTTGTGTTTGTTTGTTTTTTTTTTCTACAGCTTGGCCTCTAATCTGCAGCTCACATTTACTGGCTTCTTTCATAAAGCTGGTAGGTTTGTCCTTCTCGGCAGTCTTTCTTTGGTTCTTGTCATATATTGTTGTTTTTTCCGGTCTTTCCACTGAGTTCAGTGGGACTTACAGGAAGTCTTTTATCTTGCTTTGTGTTTGTGTGTTCAGGAAAACCAACTCAGGACAGTGAAAATGACCAGAACTCTGTGTCTCTGGAGGTGCTGCTGGTCAAAGTCTGCCACAAGAAGCGAAAGGTGTGTGAACATCATCGCTGCTGGTGTGAAAATTGATAGTGTTTTTGTACAATTCCCATGTGTCAACAAAGTGGAATCTGAAATTTCCTCTCCTGTCTCCGGTCTAGGATGTCAGCTGTCCAGTGAAGCAGGTCCCTACAGGGAAGAAGCAGGTTCCTCTCAATCCAGACACGAGTGCTGGAGTCCAGGCCAAGACAGGCTCCTTCCCCTCCCTGCTGGTCCCCAGCAGTGAGTTTGAACCCAGCAACTCCCACATGGTCAAATCTTACTCATTGCTCTTTAGAGTATCAAGACCTGGATGTCCCCGAACACAGATCAATGGCCTGGCAAATGGAGAGAATCACCACAGCAGAGGTGAGCAGAGAATTGGAAACTCCTCACACTTTTTTTTTAGGGATTTTTCTGGTTTATTTTAACATTGGCTTTATTTTCACAGTTTGGGCTGTCGTTTCTGTTTACTTAGATACACTGTGCTCAGCGAATGAATTGTTGAGATGTGTGAACACTGTGAAAGAAGCTTGTTGCGACAAGAAACACAAGATTAGGCACCTTAACCCAAACTGTAAAGTTATTACCCGAACTGTCTGTTTTAAGCATCTGTCACAGTTTACACACCGGCTTCCTGCTTTAGCTTTTTGCAGAGTTTTGATGGATTTGTTAAGCTCCATCCCTAACGCGTTTTGCTCAGAACTTAGCAATTAGTTTAGCTTATTAGCAAGAGCAATGTAAAAACAATGAAATTTAGATAAAGTTAAAGGAATTCTTATTTATTGATGTCTACACTAAACATGACACCTGTTGCATCTGTGTGTATCCAGACAGTAAAATCCTTCCTTTGTTGCTTCTGCTCTCAATGAGGTTTCTTGAAGTTATTTTTTTCTGGTAAAGGGATTTTTTTGGAGCGTGTCATATGCTCTTGGTCGATTGCAATAAACAACCCTGATTCTTCTTGGCGGCATCAGGCTTTGCTCTCGTCATTTTAAAAAAGCTAAAATTAAACATATTTGTTGGCTAACATCACTCTATGACCTCAGATGCAGTTTTTCTCGTCCAAAGATACAAACCAAACACTAACTCTTCTTCAGATTGTGTTAATGTCATGAAAATGTTGCAGTTACACTTTCATGAATGTCCTATTATTATTTTAAGCAATTCATAAATTAACTTGTTCAGTTGATATAATTTGATCTCCAAAACTGTTAAACTAAGACCTGACTTGAAATGTATTTAAATTAATGTTGTAATTGTCTTTTTTTCTTGACATTGTGTGAAATTAGTCTAAATGTGATGCCCACAGTGATGCTGGGACCTTTGATAGGAAAGGATACATTGATCAGGTTTTTAAATTCTAAGCAACAGCTTGAAGCCTGTGTAACGGATAAGACATTCATGTCATTGTGGGTCTGTTTCAGATTTTTCAGAGGAAGTCGTGAACAGGAAGAGGAGGAGCTCCTCTCTCAGGGAGGAGGGAGAAACCACATTTGTGGCTCAGATGACTGTCTTTGATAAAAACAGGTGAAACACACTAACACCATCATCCCAGACACACACACACACAGACCCACACAAAGTGTCGACTTCTGATCCAGAAAAAGAAAGTGTTGTTACAGTCTTTGTATAGCTGAAGTAAGAAGATGTTGTACACGTGTGTGCAGACGCCTGCAGTTGTTAGATGGGGAGTATGAGGTGTCTATGCAAGAGATGGAGGAGTGTCCTGTCAACAAGAAGAGGGCGACCTGGGAGACCATCCTGGACGGAAAGGTGTGTGTTTTTGTGTGAGTCTATGAGGATACATGACGGTAATGGCAGAAAAAGTGTACAGTTACACACAAGATATTTGCACAGAACCAAGCAGATGATTAAATCCTTGCTTCTTACACAGCAGAGACTGTTTCATGAAATACAAAACAGACTTGCGGAGAGGATTCTCTTTTTTTTTTAAAGACTAGCTCTCTGTTACAAATAAGCCTTTGATTAATGAAATATGTGTCCTGCTATTGATCATATCTCATCCAAATTATTCTACATTTTACTTAGTGAATGGCTGAGTCTTTACCCAACACACTGATGCCACGTATAACAACAACAACAAAAAAAAATTTGTCCCACTACTTGGGACTTCCTAGTGACTGCAGCAACTTGGTCACTTTCTGTTGTGAGGGAAAAACTAAACATGCGGTACACTGAGCAGGGAAGAAAAAGGGAAGACAGAAGCCATTGCTATCAGCTAAACTAGTGAACCTAAGCTTGCACAGTAACGGTGGCCTTCACCATGATCGTGAAGAAACGTATTACTTATACCTGAGCTTTATTCTAGTGAAGTAAAACCATCTGCTCTTCATCTTCAGCGTTTGCCTCCATTTGAGAGTTTCTCTCAGGGTCCGACCCTACAGTTCACCCTGCGCTGGACCAGCGACTCCACCGATCGATCCACTGCACCTGTGGCTAAACCGCTGGCCACCCGCAACTCCGAGACCAACCAGGACACCAGACCCAGCACTCTGAGAGCCACACACACACTGGGTGAGCAAGACTCAGCAACACAAACGATAGTGTGTTTATGTACATGTAGTTAAATTAGTGGTGAAAGTGGTGCTAATTGTCTTTATTAATCTGAGTGACACTGTGTTTGTCCTACTGGCTGCAGCTGTGAAAGAATCCTTAAATGCAGACGTGCAAACCAGAAGAGAACTAATCTCAGCTGAGCCTCGACAGAAACTACGAATCTTCTACCAGGTCAGAGTCTCACCTGAAGTTTTCACTGCATACTTCAGCCGTGTTTGGTTCCATCACAGTTTCATCGTCAAGTTTGATGACACATAACCAGACTTTGGAAATATTTACTACAGTGTATTTTTTATTTTTTTAAACTGAAATATCATGATTGAATGATTCTGACTTCTTCTCACTCAGCCTTTGTCTCTGCCCAGGACTTATTCAGCAGCAGCTCTCTCACATTAACTGCCTCTGTTTTTGTGTCCAGTTCCAATACAACCACAACACACGGCAGCAGACCGAGGCCAGAGACGACCTCCACTGTCCCTGGTGCACCCTCAACTGCAGGAAGCTGTACAGTCTGCTCAAACATCTCAAACTGTCCCACTCCCGCTTCATCTTCAACTATGTGGTGAGATGAACACACACCAACTTCTTCAGGGATAAAATACATGTGCTTTTCTGCTCAGCATGTGTTGATAAACTTTAGTTACAGAATAGAGAAAACAGGGACAAGTAAAAATGAATGCTGTGCATCATAGACTTTTATTCTAATGGAATAAAGTCGGTGCTCCTGCTTTGTTTTTGAGTAAAGAACTCGTTTTTTATATAAGTTGATGATCTAAAAAAAATCAACAAGTAAAATCTTTTTTTCTAGTATCACAATATTGTTTAAATTAACCACATTTTTTCCAACAGTTTAAGTTTATTTTAACAACAAAAAAAAACCTTATTTATTGAGGGCTTTTTTTCTTTTATGGTTGGTTTTTACAGTTTCTGACTAATGCTTTATCACTGCCTTGTGCAAGCAATTACGTATTCATGCATTAGAGCATTAATAATAAGATTAATCTTTATTTGTGAAGCACTTTCCTAAACTCACATTACAAAACGCTTTACAAACAAAACAGACGAATAAATATAGAGCAAAATAACATCACATCAGTATGGAGCATTTAAATATAAAAGCAGAACCGTAAATCACGTAAAACCAGGAAAGTATCTTTTAAAAAGAGAAATAAATGAGGTCACTGACTGCTGACCTGATTTCCTCAGGCAGTTTGTTCCATAGCTTCAGGACTCTGACTATGACTATTGTGTCAAATCCAGTTTTCAGTCGAGTCTCGGCAAGAGATGAAAGACAAAACAGCACAGAGGCCGTGATGAGCCTCAAATTCAAAACTAAGATCATAGAATCAGTTCTAATACATGCTGAGAGCAAGTGCAAGGAGCCTAAAACAGGAGCCGTGTTGCTCCTCAAGCCTGACGGAGTTCTGTAACTGTGGTGGTGCACATTAATGGTTGACACAAAAATGAGCCAAATGACATATTGAGACATTATAATCTTAATATTTGGTCTTTATGGTGTTTTGCAGCCCCATCCTAAGGGAGCAAAGATCGAGGTCTCTATCAATGAGTGTTACGACGGCTCATATGCTGGAAACCCTCAGGACATCCACAGCCAGCCGGGCTTTGCCTTTAGCAGGAATGGCCCCGTGAAGAGGACCGCTGTCACCCACATCCTGGTCTGCAGGTACCAGTCACTTCCCTCGCTTTCACTTTTTATTTATTTACATCCTGCCAAGAGTATCTGAGGATCAATCTACCTCTTCTGTCTCGTCTGTCCAGACCAAAGAGGACGAAGCCAAGTCTGTCTGAGTTCCTGGAGTCAGAGGACGGCGATCGGGAGCAGCAAAGGACGTACATCAGTGGACACAACCGCCTGTACTTCCACAGCGACTGCTGCCTGCCGCTCAGACCTCAGGAGATGGAAGTGGACAGTGAAGACGAGAGGGACCCTGACTGGCTCAAAGAGAAGACTGTTAAGGTCAGTTACAGCTGAACAAACCAAGACATGGACAGTCCTCACGGAGTTGCTCCTGCATAGACGACATTTTGGCACCCCCCCAAAAGTGAGGCCACTGCCAAAGAAAAATCAACAGCCCCACAATGATACAAACTGAGAATAATCCGCGTGTTATTATTCAAGCATAATATAATTTTTGGCTTATTAAATGGTCAGAAATAACAAGGTTTCTGTCAAGTAAGATAAGCCTTTTTTGTACTGGAACTGATGGTGCTGGCTGTGTGTAGTCACTCCACAAGGACCCAGACTGAGCCAGAAAAACCCTGATAGAGACTAAAAGTCATGACATCTGCACAGCTGCTGCTTCAAATCTGACAGTTCTCTCTCTCTTTTTAAATCTGTCTATTGCAAGTTCGCCGATTACCACTTCATCTGTGTGTAAACTATCAGTTGATTGACAGAAACTTATTTTGCAGCAATTTCGATAATCAAGTAACAGTTGAGATTATTTAATTATTTATCCAGTAGAAATACCAAACGTGCTAATTCCAGTTTCTGAAAAGTAAGGATTTGCACTTTACATAGACTCTGTGGGTTTTGGTGGTTGGTCAGATAAAGCAGCCACAGTAAAGGTGTCACCGTCGGCCTTTGTCAAACCTCTCCCCCTCCACCACAGAGTGTAACTTTGTTTGTAGTCATAGCTGAATGACCCACCTCTAGGTGTCAGGTGTAAATACAGGTGAGCTTCAAGATAAACATCCCTCTCTTTGGCAGAAACATATGCAGAAAAATACAATTCACCCCCAAGTTGTTGTTCTTTTCTTGTAAACATCTTCTTGTTAACTCTGATAAGCTGCTTGATTTTTGAAACAGTGTAAATATATAAGACTTGAAAATTACATGACGATGTCTACCATTTTCTAGACCAGAGAGGGCTATTTTCGGTTCTGTATAGTATAACCTTTAGTTGTTGAGATCTGTGTGTGTGACTTCACTAGTAAACATCCAACGAGCTGCATGGAACTTTGATTTGTATGGAGCATCTTCCAATATGAACACAAAACAGTGTTGCTTGTCTGCATCAATGCAGATTTCCTTTTGGAGAGTTCATGTATCACTTCCGTTGCCCATTAGTTAGTTTGGAATTGCTTTTAATGTGGCAGAGCCTCTACGTGAACACAGAGTGGAAATGGATTTGAAAGGATGTAGAGGGTGGTTTGAGAAAAGCCCTTTAATGACAACATCAGTAGGCTTTTATATCTGAATATGTGAACCACACTGCAGCCACAGGTCTACCTTTTTTTTTTTTAATGTTTCTGAGGTTACATTGCTTTCCAGAAATGTAAAGTTGATTAGCATCATTGGTAGTTCAGACTCGAACAAACAACAAACACAGCACACTGCCAACAAGAAAGACTTGACTTTTCTACATGATTGTACAGTTTTTTTTCATCTGACTGTGTTGTAACTTTTCCAGATTGATGTGACTAGAGTCCTGTTAGAATGCTGATGTTTCTGTTGCTGGTCTGATAATGTCAATCTTTAAAAGCGCCTTATAACAAGAAAAACTTGTGTTGACAAACTGTGCTGTACATTGTGCTCCTGCAAAGTTGCTTTATGCAGTTTACATTTCTTCATGTTAAAATTTAAAACAACGTAAGTGTAGATTCTGTCTAAACACTGACTCTCATTGCAGCAAATCGAGGAGTTCACTGACGTCAACGAGGGGGAGAAGGAGATCATGAAGCTGTGGAACCTGCACGTCATGAAGCACGGGTGTGTACTGAGTAGGATACAATGTTCATTTCTCTCTCACTGTAGAGCACAACGCTTTTGTCAGAAAAAAAGAATTCTGTTTTAATGATGTATTAAAGTAGAGAAGAATTTCTCGGCTGATTACAATTATGTTTATCAATTTTTCTGCTGTCTGCTCTTTCTCAGAAAGAGCTGAGCTGCAGCTGAAGGAGAAAAAGCACTGATACTCAGAAAATAACTGCAGGAGCAAAGTTTAGGCTGTGTTATAATATACGATTTTAGGATTCTAGTTGTACATGAAAATGTAATGTGATGTTTTTCTGAAGTTAGTATTTTAATACCACAGCAGGTTTTTATAAAATTCCTTCTTTCATTTTGCCTTGCAGCCTAATATACAGATAAAATCACTGTAAACATGGCAGGGGCATCAGCAAACGGATTATCTTTTCAGTTTATACTTATTGAGGTCATTGCTCACATGTTTTTGAAAAAAAAAAAGAGATGTCTGTGCTTATTTGAATGAACAGATTTTTAAAAAATAGTATAAGTGGAAAAAAATCATCATATCGCTGCATCAGAGTGATCTGAGGGCTGCATTGCGAAGCGAGATCAGTGGGTTAGCGAGGTATGTTTAGCCTAAAGTCAAAGTTCTCAGTGTCATGGAGGTTAGTCTATTCTGACTCGGCAAGATCTCCATGGTAACTGATGCTGTGGAGCTAACCTGGAGCAGGTTATGTTCAGAATTACAGATTTAAACGGGCTGCAAGAAACGTCTCTCTTTAAACAAATTGTGTCCTGATAATTCTTTATGAGCGATACATATTCTCAGCTGAAGGAATCGGTTTTATCTGCAAACATGTTGAACTTGTACGTAGCTAATATCACCGAATGCTAGAATATGTTTATGTGCTTTAATGTTCAAAAACACATTGAAAGTGAAGTAATGGTGGTTACATGCTGTAATCCCAGATCTATTACTATAGGCAGAGAGACATGGCAGTAGATGAAGTGGCTCTAATATGGAAATAAAAGCAAGATACCTGCTCTGCTCGGAGTGTTTGCTCTGCAGGCATTATGCAAATGTGTTACATGGGGATGTAGATAAGGAATGGGGAGAAAAGCCTGGACAAACGAGGAGTTTCAGACCAGTAAGGAGCAGTGTGTCCTGTATGAGAGACTCTCTTCAGGGTCGACTTTGGGCTTTGTAAGTTTGCAGACATTCACAAAAATGCTGTAATACACTGAAAGAGGGAGAAAAAACCCAGAGAGCACAATATGAGCTCTGTAAATTTCTGTATTTGGGTGAGAAGGTTAACTCAGATTCATGTGTGAAGTCTTCCTGACTCTTCTGTCCTCCTTCCAGCTTCATAGCAGACAACCAGATGAACGAGGCCTGCCTGCTGTTTGCTGAACACCACGCCACCGTCATCATCAAACACAGCCTTTGCCGCAACTTCCTGTTGCACCTGATCAGCATGCACGACTTCAACCTGATCAGCACGCTGACCATCGACCAAGCCATGGCCAGACTCCGCCTCCTCCAGAACCAGGCCGCTCGCGCAAATAGAAACGAGGACGAAGAAGAAGAGGAAGAGGAGGAGGACTGGGAGACGGCCGTGGAGTCCCAGCCAGAGCTGGACCCCGATCCTGATCCCGACCCATCCGAGTACAGAGCCTGTAGCGATGAGACGAGCAACGGCTGCCTGGAGAACGGAAACCAGCAGGAGGAGGGGAGCTGAGGAGCCGTGACGGAAAAGCCAAGCAGAACATCTCGGCTTGGTTCTACGCTGACTGCTCGATCAGACATCCCCAAATAGGACAGAAAACCGAGGCCTGAGGCGACAGACAAGCAGGTGTCAGACACACACACAGGTTACTGCAGGGATACCGTCCTCAAAGGCAGGTTACATCAGGAACAAGATGAACTTGAAATCACAGAAGTCATTTGTTTTCCACTTTTTCCACACGTTCAAGTCGAAGAGACACTTCAGAGGCGCTTCAACGTCGCAACTTGTTCAAAACTTGAAGCTTTGAACCATCAATATTTTCTCGTTTTTTCACATCGTGTGTCCCGATGCTGTCGATGTATCAGGGTTTTTAGCTCTGAAACTCAAAGGTGCTGCAGTTGCTGTGTCGTTTCTTTTATGTTACCAGAAAAATCACGTTTATTTCCGACAAAACTATGGAGTGAGCACGAAATTCAGTCTTAAGTTCAGATGTGCCGAGTCAGGGTTGAAACGATTATTAGAAATGAAGGAGACGAAAAACTGATATGTGGAACTGAAACACATTCGCAGTGAAAATGAAAATCTCTGCGTATAAATCAAGGACAACGTTAATTGAACCGGTCAGCTCATTTAAGTTTTACATTTATCAAGTAAAAGAGACCTTTTCAACCTTTTGTCTTTTAGTTTTGATAAATAACAGTGAGAGAAGCAGCTGAATTTATTTATTTTATCAGGAAATGGTTGCAAAAAAAACAATACTGATGATTGGAAAAATGCTGAATGTGGGACCTGATAATGACCCAGAGTGTGGAGACATATTCTGAAAAAGATTCCCTGAAAAGACCCAAACTAACAACAAGTGGCTCAGCGCTTGTTGAATTCTCCCCACCTCAGCTGAGATCGGTAATTTGTTTGGGCTTAATCCACATCAACGACTGTATTTGTATGCTTCCCCAACCACACAAATAAGACTTCATCCTCACCTGTAGTTTGATGACTGTTTATTTAGTGTTCACTTCATAGTTCAGTTAACAAACCTCAGATGGGATCGTCTTCCTCAGTGTGAAGCACCAATCTGACCTTTCCAGGCACGCTCAGCTCCACCAAAGGTTTTCTTTTCTTACCGTGTGTTCACATGCTCATCAGTTCCTCGGTTAGGAGTCACAGATCAGTGCCTGCCCTGTACCTCAACAGTTCACGTGAATCAGTTTCCAGCTGCCGTTTCTTGTACTTTTTTTTGAGAACCCTGACTCACACACGTCCAGTCCAGATTTTTTTTTCTAACTGCTGGTGCTAGATGTTTGTATTCCTCAGAAACCTTCATTTCGATGCAGCTCTGCTCCTTTTCCTACAGCGACCTCTACTTGGTGTTTTTCCTCTTTGTTACGATGCAGCTCTGCTCTGCTGATCCCAGGACAACTTTAAGCTCCTCAAGGTTGTACAGTGCTGAATGGTGACATCTGAACTCAAGCACAATTTGTGACTCCTTTTTGAAGTCTGTCAGTCACTTGTTGAGTTTGTCTGTGAGGCTCGAGAAGTGAAGATGCTTCTCACAAGACTAAACTCAGTGAAACAGCTATTTTTATTATCAGCTGAATAGGGCTGCAAATGACATTTATTTCATTGTAGAATAACCTGTTGGTCATTTTCTCAATTCATTGGATACATGTTTGGCCTGTACAATGTGAGAAAAGGTGATCAGTGTCCAAATGACACCCTCAAATCAAAGATATTTAGTTTCCTATCATGGTGGAGTTTACCGAGGTGCTGCCTCCAGTGTATTTGGATTCAAATCATTATGAACGGAATAATCGGGAGGTTTTGGACTGTTTTTCTCAGATGCACAAGCTCTGCTGATCTGTATTTTTCTTTATTTGACTTGTTGGAAGGGTCACACAACATTCACTGGCGCTCAACCAGGTGCTGTTTTCTTTCCTTGTGTTGTTGCTGCCCCTTTTATGTACATAAGACTCTGTTAAATTAGGTGTACAGAATTAGCTTTGGAACATGGCTGTTTGGAGACCTGAAGACCAGCCAAGAGGTTTTTGTTAGTTTCTTAGTTTACACACCAAAGGGGATTCCTTCGCTGCAGATTTCTCCGCTCTTGTTTCGTGTCTCATGTTAAAAAAAAAAAAAGAGAGAGAGAGGAGAAAAAAAAAAAAGATTTCTGCAAAGCAGACTCAGGCTGCATTCCTGGACCATCTGACCCAGGATCCTCACTGCCTTCAAATCATCTGAGGTTCAACAGTGAGACAAGAAAAAAACAACATGGAGTCCGGATACTGCCTTACAGTTTACTGCTCCGTTCTGAACAGATTGTATGCAGTATGAGCCTCCAGATGTAGCCAGCTGTTAGGACTGGCACTGCCACAGAAATATTTTGAGCTTTGATGGGATTAGTTGGGTTTATGTCTTGTATTGTGGCCCTGCTCTTTTAAAGCTTTACATCAGTCCAATAGTGACAAATCCAGCCTGTAGGAATCTGCTTTGCTGCAGGAATTCAGAGCCATTTGGGTTCACATGTGACAGTTCTGTGACGGAGCACTTTCTGGTTTCAGTGGAGCCCGCTGTAGGTTTTTTTTTTTTTTTCTTTCGTTCATTCATTCACAAGACCAGCAGCATTTTGCACAAGATGGGAGGAGCCATGTCAAAAAACAAGACTTTTCTTCAACAGTAATGTACAACCAGCTTGACAATATGAACGTTTGAGGCAAGTCAGATTGGTTTTCTATTAAAAGAACGATTTTGTAATATTGTTGACAACGTGGTCAAGTTTTTTGAGTATCATTTCATCCGTTACGTGTACAAAACACACACTTGGAGCCCATTTACTGACCTAGAATTTTTACCCAGTGATACTCTTCAACCAAATTTTTACTTCATCTATATTCCTGCAGAATTAATGTTTTGTTTTGAATGCCTTTAAATAAGGTGTTTGCAGGCTCTTATATCAGAGCTAGTTGTTGCTGTGACTGTATAATGAGTTTCTTACCTCCTAGTGATCAGAATGTGAAACTACATCCTGTATATTATAAAAGATTTATCAACATATGTTTAAAACTTAAAAAAAAAAAATTAAAGAGGGTTATTAGCAGAATCATATCAACACATTTTGCCAAAACACTTTGAATGCTTGCTTTATTTAGATCACATTTAGACAATTAAGGGTAAGAAAATATAGAAGAAAAAACTAAAAAGCTGTTTAATATTTTCCAGTTAACTCTTGAGTGCCAACACAAAAAGAGGTATTTTAATGTCTGAGTGATTATAACCCCCATAAAAATGTTGGATGTTATTTTCCGCTTTCACTGAGTAAACTTTTAACCAACATTAGTCCTGATCATAACAAATATTCATTAATTTTAAGGATTTTAACCTCTTATATGCTAGTTTGTTTATATTAGCCACTCACAAACAAACAAACCCACAAAACATTATTTTTCATATGATAAATTCAAAGAGGATTTAAAAAAAAAAAAAAAGAAAAATTGCAAGTTTTTGTGCAGCGTTGGACTTTCTTTAAAAAAAAAAGTATGCTCGATACCCTAAAGGACAAAAATGCAATAAAAATACATACTGAGGACAACTGCACACAGGGCTTTTAAAACGGAACAATAGATCTAACACATAAAGCATTTATTATCATTTATAATAAATTCACATTTATAGTAAACCACAAACATTAGCATGTGTATTTAGAATTAGTTTTTACTGCCCCTAGTGGTCCCCATGCAGAACTGCAATATATTCATATAAGTATAGTAGTGACACTGTAGACAAGACAGCGTTTTAATACCTCCAGGTTTGAACATTTCAACATAAGTGAAGGAATTATCCTGTTCACTGACTATTAATATTCTTTAGAGGTTCCATTACGAGTTACAACCTGATTCAACACATTTGTAAAAGTGTTCTGAAAATATCAATGTCATTACTGTAGCTATTTTAATAATCTAATTTAGTAATAGCTTTCCTGTGACAGTTTTGTTGTTCTAGTTCTTCGCTAAACTCTAGAGGGCAGCAAACTGATAGCCGACCTAAAATAACAAACGGATTATAAATGCTGTAAACCTCATGTAGGTAGTACTTTGAAGGGGTCTTAGAGAAAGAACTGCAACAAAGATTTCCCCTTTTGAGGATCACAATGACTTTTTATTCAACAAAATGTGAAGGATGCAGCAGTGAACACAAATGCAATGCAGAGGTTTGACCAGCAGATGTTGCTGTTGTCTGTCAGATGCTTTAAAACGCTAACAGTTGCTTCAGTTTTCCCTCCTTCAGAGGAGACCAAGTCTATTCTGAGGTTGTGTTTGCTGGTTTCAGGACATTTGTACCATCAACTGGATCCAACCCTGGATCCCACTGTCCTCAGTCCAGCAAAAAAAACAAGAAAACATCAGTGAAACAACAAAAAGCTGTGCTGACTTGATCAGGACAATAAACATCTGCTGATAAAGGATGAGGCTGGGGGCCTGAAATGGGCGTTTCTTTAAAAAAAAAATAAAAGCAGAACAGAGAAGTTGTTGGAGACACACGAATCCCATGACAGTCCTGCACCACTGAAGTCTTCCTATGTTATCAAGAACAGTCCACTAAGTGTGAAGAGCAAACATCCAATGATGTTTACCCTCATTTCAGATTAGCACATTAAAAAAAAAAACGAACAGCTACATGTTGTAAAAACATCACAGAACAACAGGAATCATGTCTTACTTCCCTGTTCTAATCTTGACCTCATGTTTGTCCAGACCTTGAAAAAGGAAACTGATTTTTGGACCCTCCACTCCAAATAACAAACAGAATAAAACTTACAGCAGACAGAAAGAGAAGACAAATAAATCATAAATACGGTGGACAGCCAAGACAGAACGGCATCCTGTACCAGAGTTAAATCGCTCTGACCAGAGCTGACAGTGATTTAAAACTGGAAAGTTGTTTTTCATTTTTAAATACCCAGAAAATTAAACCGATAAAATAAAAACGCTCTTAGCGGCAGCAGCTTTGTGTGATGTAGCTGATAAAAACAATTAGCGTGCTTAAAAGTGAAGCTTTAGAGGTACGACCAAAATAAAAAAAGATTTATTTGCTGTGCTTTAATATTGACCTCACATTTTTATTGTTGAAGCAAAAACAAAAGTGAGAAACTTGACTTGACCATACCATTAACCCGTCTCTGCAGTGCCCCCTGCTGGGCGTTGTACAAATGCAGCTTTCAGAATTATATGCTACAAATATGTGAAATCCAAAGTTAACATGTGCTGCTTTTATTCTGTAATAAATGAAACTATTTTCCAACTGTCCTCTCATAAGAAATAAGTGCATCGTGTGGCCATCAAAATCTGAAATTTGGTGCACTTGCCTCTAAAATGTAACAACTATAAATTCAAGTCATGGACCACAAAGCTATGTTGCTGTTATTAGAAGCTATTAGGCAACAAACATTAATACAAAATCAGGCTGTGGGAGCAGAAATTACATATAACCCGTCAGAGATTCTGAGATATTCCAGAGAAACAGTGATTAAACTGTTCGGAAAAGATGAAAGACGAGCAGGAATCTCTGCAGATAAACTTCTAAATCAGAAAGAGAGCTGAAAATGACACATTTGGTTAGAAACAATGAAAACACTCCACAAAAAGAGGCCAAAGGGAGAGCTGAGATTTTAAAGCTGGCCTTGTTTTTCCCTGTCATCTGCAGGCCAAACATGTATTTCTAAACAATATTTATGTTCATAACGTTAAAGATTTTTAGTTGAGTTTCTCATCCAAAGCTTCGAGGTCTGTGTGATCTGCTCTTCCACATCCACATGCATTAATAACTTAAATTTGTGCTCCTTAAACTTTAAACACTCCTCCTCCCACTAACACGTTGTGAATACTGTTAGGATTGTCACTAAAGGAAGCTTAAAAAGCAAAGAAACAGCTTGATTCATTTAAGGAACAGTTCAACAAAAGACAAAACTCTGCAGCCTGGAGTTTCTGCCAGGAAATCGTCTGCGTAAACTCAGATACACAAGTTATTCATTTCAGATATTTTCCCTCTCTGAGTGGTCTTTTCAAGGACTTCATTCAAACATTATCTTGGGACAAAAAGCTACTACCCTGCGCCTGAAGACCACAAAACATCTCGAAAATTAAATCTTAAATACAACCACGTGAGGAGAGGTCCAAAGATAGTCGCAAGACAAAAGTAAATAATAAGACGAGCTGTCATTATATCTGAAGACACATTGCTATTCATTTTCCATTGAGCCTTTTAGGTTCAAAGCCCCTCAGAAATTCACTGAGCATCAGCCGTGTGTGGCTCAGAGGTCAAAGGGGTCACAGCTCAACTGCTTGCAGGAAGAAACTGCACAAAAATTAAAATAAAATGCGACAGCAATAGTTCCCCTCACAACAACAAGATATTTGTGGAGGAAACCAGACACATGCAGTCTTGAGTCTGCAAATTCACTCCTGAGCTACAGACCGACAGAAAAACCCTCAGGTTGGTTTGTGTTTTTGGTGAACTGTCCCTTTAAACTTCTGACAATTGAACTTTTCGAGGCTCTGAGAAGAGGATATGACTTTCACAGTAATGGTTTTTGATAAGATAAAAAATAAACCAGCAGGTTAAGCTGTTAAAACATTTAAACAGGCCCTCTAGGATGTGTTCTTCCTCTAGAACAGGGGTGTCGACATCCGGTCCTCGAGGGCCGCAATCCTGCATGTTTTAGATGTGTCCTTCTTCCAACACACCTGATTCAAATGATCAGGATCGTTATCAGGCTTCTGCAGAGCTTGATGATGAGCTGATCATTTGAATCAGGTGTGTTGGAAGAGGGAAACGTCTAAAACATGCAGGATTGCGGCCCTCGAGGACCGCAGTTCGACACCCCTGCTCTAGAAGCTCTCAAACTGCCACTACAACTAAATTAAGACGATGCATAGATGAACGACCGGTGAAAATTCTCTCCACAGCGAGAACAACAGCAACAAAAACAAGCTGTAAACAATGTCCAACCTTGTAAGAAGGTTTGGGAATCAAAGTAAAACAAACTACGAGTAAAGAAGCTGCGTGAACACGGATATCACTCCTCCAACAAATGTCCCTGAAGCCTGAGGAAGAGCTGCATCACTCACAGCACAAATCACATTTCCTCCCACACAGTTTACAGGCACACAACAAACCAGGTGGGTGGTGGTCCATTAGTCCAAATATTTACTGTTTTGCTGTGGAGACCACACACTGAAAACATTATCTACCTGGCACGCACACTTGGAAGTAAGTAAAGACTTTTTTATACTATGACTTTATTCTGGAGCCCGACTAGTTTATTTTATACTTTGTAAGTTTTGTTATTTGACCACATTATAGAACTTTGGAGGAGCCATTTCTCCAAAATTTGAAGGCTGTTTTTAAGGACGTCCGGGTTGATGAGCTCCAGGTGTAGCTGATTTGTCAGGAGGTTTACCATTTTTTGACGTCTTTTGTGTTGCATGACTGTTTGGACCATTGTTCTGTACATGAAGACGGACAAACCTTCCGTGAACGTCACTAATAAGTTTCCCTATGAGAGGTTTATGAACTTGTCGTGGCTCTGGCGATCACCATCTTGCAAATGCGGTAGGACATTTATTAAAACGTATCTATTCTGCTGCAGCAGCAACGATCCCCCTTGAGCACCACAGTTTGAACTAGTTTCATCTCTTTTCAGAATCAGCCATCTTTGGCTGAGAAGTTATCAAAGCTGCAGATTGAGATAATGGCTCCATTTCTTCTTCACTGTCCTCCAGTGGAATTGTGTTTGCTATAGCAGAATAGAAGAGAAATTATTCCTCACTGCTAACTTCTGTTTGAGACTCTCATCACCACATTTGCTTTGTTGTTGCTATCTAGCAAATTTGGATAACTGTTTTCCATGATATGCAGGTTAATATTGTCCTGGTGTTGTAGGACTCAACTCTCAATTTCTGGAAAGATTCATGACAGAATTGCAGATTCTGTGCAGTTGCAGATGTGGAATAATGTGCGGAAGTTAGTGACTGTCACTCTGATGAAATTCTTGGGACAAATGACAGATTTTTTTCCTTGCTCTTCCAGATGTTGCAGCCACTCTGTGAGTGCCTCGGATGTGAAAGAAAAAGGAACTGAAGAGAAACTCAAGATAATAGCGCCTGGGTGAGGGGCTCCTGAACACGGGGGGGATCCATTCCTTTAAACCGAGGCCTTAAAACACAAGGACTTTCCAGCCGGAGTGGACAAAGCAGCAGCCGAAGAAGAGGCAGTCCACCGCCTGGTCCACCAGCCAATCAAACACCACCTCCCGGTTCCCTGAGCCGATGGTCACCCTCAGCTTGAAGTTTCCCCCGTCGCTCAGGTTATTGTTGTTGACGGGGAACAGGTTCACCACCTCCATGTCAAAGGTCACGGCAGAGCCAACAGTGACGGCGGGCAGCTGGTTGGTCATCTCTTTACCATTGACGTAAACAGCACCTGAGAGGAGAGGCGTAGAGATCCAGCTGTTACAGGATCAAGTCAGTAGTTTCATAAACTTTTACACATATTCACATTGTGAGCAATTTCAAAGACATTATAAAGTTAAATCTAATACCCTAAAATCACAAGAAGATCAATGGGATCTGACTTTACTGCCAAGACTGAGAAATTATTGAGTGATTTCACATAAACTTGAGGATTAAGTATTATTTAATGTTTTTTATTGTCAAAAAGTAATGCAGGATTTTAGTGCTTTCTCTGTGCAGTTTGGTTAAACTAAGACAGACAGTCACATGCAACAGAAAACAAAGTAAATACATTCATTTTAATATTAATAAAACTAGTAATATTATATTATTCAGTTATTGAATTGTGTTTCTATAACAAAATCAACGAATTGTTACAAAAGGAGACATGAAGACATATTAAAGTGCTTGCTGTCCCAGATATTCACTGAAGCAGCCAATGTGAAATCATCTGTCGCTAAAAATAGTCCCAAACAAACTATTGCTATTTTTTTCCCCCTGTTTTGATGTTTGCTGAAAGCTACAGTGGCCCGCTGCTTCAGGAGGTAACTGAGCCTTTTCCAGAAATGTAGCCATACATTTGTCCATGTAATTTGAGCTGAGGGCCCCAGACAGACCAGGGAAGCCAGAAAGTACTAAGAGACTTATCTTAGGATTCTGGACATTTGTGACAGAACATCAAGTGGTATGTAATGCATAACAATGTTCTCATAAACATCTAAACTAATGACAAATTAATTAGACTAGCCCAATAACTAATAGCATAGTATATTTATGATTTGCAAAGCACTGAAAATTCTGTCCATGTGTAATGACAATGTAACTACTACTTTATGAGCAGTAAAACCTGCACCTTATAAACTGTGACCCTGTTTTTGACAGTTCACACATCTGTCTGAAGTGAAGAAACATGTTGAGGTTAATTGGTGATTCTAAATTGTCCGTAGGTGTGAATGTGAGTGTGCTTGGTTGTCTGTCTCTAAGTGTAGCCCTGTGATAGACTGGTGACCTGTCCAGGGGGTCCCCTGCCTTCACCCTAAGTCGGTTGGGATGGACCCCGCGACCATAGGATTAAGAGGTGTACAGATAATGGATGGATGGATGTTTTGTAACTCTTTTTGGACCACTGTTGTTGCTGAAATGTCAAAAAAAAAAAAAAACCTTTATCAAACGACTCAAAGTACGTTGCTATGCATGCCTATTTGTGAATGTGAATGCATGCAGTGTTAGACTTGTGCTGTGTTGAAATTGGTTGATTTGTTACTCGTTCCAACTTAATAGGAGTGCCGCTGTGACTTTTATGGAGGAGTGCTCAGGACGCTCACTCAGACATGAAGTAGACACTGTCACCTGCAGAACTGAGTTCAGCTCAACCTATCTGTGTCAGCATACCATTGGTGGAAATGCAGACGGCCTGGTCGCTCTGAAGTGACTCCTCTCCCCGCTCGCTGCCAATGCACACGCCAAGACTGTCCCTCCGATCCATCTGACCCGCTGCAGAGATCCTACAAACACATAAAACATGTAACAGTAAGTTCAAGAATCCAGAAGAGAAGTTGGAAGATGTTCGTGTATGTATGTATACTGTAATGTGTCTGTGGGTCGGTGTGAGCATACTTGAAGGTCAGTGTCTGGCCACAGAAGTAGGTTGGGGCATTGGAGTAGAGGACGGGGCAGCGAGACTGAGAGGAGTCGTTGCGCAGGGCGATGTTTTTCCTGCTGCTCAGGATGTAGCCCTCTGTCCCTGAGCGCCACTCTGGATGACAAGGAAACAAATAAAAACACATTTCAGAAAAAGATGAATATTTTTGTTAGTCTGACACGTCTTTGTAGAGAGATCTCCCAGCACACAAGGTCTCCCATTGTGAGCGAGTTGCCAGCAAGGCTACATTTCAAGCTCTAAAGAAGCAGATCAACCCTTTAATAAAGTTAAAGTGCTGCCCTTAGTAGGTCAGAAACCAAGGCTACACCTACCATGCGGTGCCAGTGTGGTATATCCTGTCTGTGGGATGCTCCAGGGGCTCCACTCGGTGCGACCCTCCCCACGGGCACAAACCCTGAACAGATAATCGATGTGAGGATCCAGATGGAGGACCAAGAACTCACAGTCTCGACCGATGTAGGCGTCCTCGTATTGGCTTCCTCCGCTGCCAGACCGCCGGTACTGCAGCCGATAATCTGCTGCTGCAAAGTCCTCGTCCACCTGATGAACAAATAACAACATTCAGAGGTTTATCTAAAACACAAAACACAGCGGCAGTGTATGTTCACTGCATATGAGAGCAGTATCTACGCATTTAAGCACATTCAAGAGCCTTCCTCGAGGAACAGAGGTCAACATTCAGAGGTTAATTTAAGACTGCTTTTGATTTGTTTGTTTAGTCTTCTTGGGGATTTGTCTCAACACAAATCACACAGCTCCAGAGAAACATTATTGCCTGGGAAAAATTGTGGAACTTGTGAAAAAGCTCTATTTGTGTCCCTTTCCCTCACTGACCTTACACCAGCGGACAAAGATGCTGCCCGGTCTCTCCTGCAGCTCTTCTATCTGAACAGGTGGGTGGGAGGAGACGGAGCCGTGGCGGGACACCCGGTCTCTCAGCATGCCCAGCAGGGAGTCATCCAGTTGGGCTGAAACACTTGGCACGTCCACCAACGCCGGTACCTCTGGCAGGCTGAAAGACACACAAAAGACAAAGTGGAATCACTGCACGCTGGTAATATAAACACACCTTTTCTGTATTCTCATCATAGAATATTGTTGCAGTGACAGCCAATTTGTTTATTCCCCTAATGGATGAAAACACCTACAGCTAAGTCACGCGTCTGTCCTACCTGTCCAGTTGGATGTGCATGGCCTTCTTTGTAAAACTGCCAAGTTTATCCTCCTTCTCTCCAAGCCCACAGCGCAGAGCTGCTTCTCCTGTAGAGAAAGATTACAACACTTAGATGGGGGTGACATCAGAAGTAGGAGTGCTACTTTTTTTTCATTATTTATTAGGGACATTGATTTCTCATTTTTTCTTTTTTGATTGTTTAGACTAAAAAAAAGATATGTAAATGAAAACTACCAAAGTAGTGCCTGTAAATTGTGTTTTGTGTGACCAACAGTACAAAACCCAACAATACCTATTGTAGTGTCACATAAAAAGCATCTAAATGCTGCAGCTAACAGGCAGGAATTAACTTGTGTATCCTCCCTCCTGAAGATGATGACTGTTTTTCAGATGTGTTGGTGGTCAGTCCAACAAGAGAGTTGCATGTGTTGTCTTTGTGGAACTCACCCTCTCTCAGCAGCTCATCAGCCTGGCCCACACCATGCTCGATGAGGCTCTGACAGTCATCGAGCGGCTTGATGCTGTCGGCCTCGATGGTGTCCACTTCAGCCAGCAGGGTGGTCAGTCGCTCTGCCAGCAATCGAGTTGCTGCTGCCTGCAGCTCTGCAAAGTGCCTCCGGAGGGCCTCGCGAGCCTGACCTGAGCTGCCTCGAACCTAAAGAACAGAAGAAAGAGGAAGAAGGTAACAGGTGAGGACATGAGCATGTGAAGGAACATTGTGACTAAGCCCTGCACTTTTGTCATTTCACATTTAGACAGTTTCAAACCTCTAAAGCTGAGCTTTTGTCCAACACACGAACCATATATGTGCACGATTTTTACAAGTTGACACTGCAGCAAAGTAGAAATTTTAAGGAAATTTATGTGACACCATCCATCTATTTTCCTCGACTTATCCAAAGTTTGTCAGTGTAATTTCCAGATGTATGGAGTGATAAAAAATAAATTTAAAAAAAAGCGAAATCCCCTCGTAAAAACCCTTGACTCTAACATGTCATGAAATAGGAATTTTGAACTTGGCTTCATCCAATGTTCAGATTTCTGTCCTGCAAATGAAGTCAAATTAATGTATATTTAGATAAACAACACCTCGTGTAAATATTGAAATATCTAATTTCAGAAAACTTGTAAAACTAAAAAGGAATCAAATGGGAAAGTGTCATAGTGATTTGTATCAGGTAAGAATGTTCCCTGTTCATGTGTAGTGTCTCGCTTTAAGAGATATTAATAGCTAGTCCAACATAGTCGAGTCCCCAGAGGACAAACCCCTCCCTTTAACGGTCTCTGGGCACCAACACGTCATCTTTGCACTCATTTAAGTTTTCATCACTGATAAAGCTCCACGAGTCATGTGGTTTGCTGTGCTGTCACTAATGTTGTTTCTCTCAGCGTTAGCACCACCACAACTACTAATATTAAACATCATGCTAAACACAGTGCCAGCACAGACTATCCTCACTGACAAGTAGCGCATCAGGAAGCTTGCTGGTTTGTCATCTGCAGTGGAGGTCAGGTTTCAGTTCCTATTTGCAAACACACTTTCAGACACATACACACACAATGACACAGGCCCAAGGATTTCACAATGAGTATACAGAGAGATAGCAGGAAACGGAAGGCTGATTGACAACTGCAGCACTGATAAAGCAGGGACAGTATGACTATGAGAATGGAAACATACTCCGGGCTTTTGCCAGAAAACACACTGATCTTTGTGTATGAGTGTGTATGTATGGAGCAGAGGCAGGGCACTTCCTGGTGACTATCAGTGTGACGCAGATAACCCCTGATCATTATTTTGGCATTTGTAAAATAATAGTCTAAAAATATGACCAGACATTGTCAGACTATTTTTCTAACATGGGACGAGTTGATCTGACATCAAGCAGAGTAGAAAAAGTTTTCCCCAAATGTTTGGACTCCTCCTCTTACAAAGGCAAGATGCTGCAGTGATAGTATTGTCTGAGATTTCAAGCACACACACACATGTTCTCGGATCTTCTTTCTTATTCTCATTGTGTGTTGTGGTGTGTAATGTTTCCTGGATTCCTTTAATCTGGTGGTGAGCCATTCCTTCTGTGGGAAAGAAGGGGGTCATGGGAAAAAAAAAAGAGGAAAAAAAACACTCCACCACTGCTCGAGCCAAGATAATATGCGATGAAACAGCTGGGATTGGGTGGAGGGAGTCTCAGTCACACAAACCGATATTAAAATATGATCTGTATCCAGATAATCAGGGAAACTGCACGTTGATGCAAAGTTTAAATGTATGCAAAACACACTGGGAATGAAATTGGATTGGATCAGTTTGACCACATTTGCACTGTGATCTAATCTCAGCAGATGTAAATTGCACTGCAACTCTGCACAGCAAGGTCACCTCACCCTCCTCCTGAAACTATCACTGTTAACTCAAGCTGCACCCCACTAAGCAGTAGGTCAAAGTTAGCTTGGCAATGGAAGGAAAGCAGAGCTAAAACAGCAGCAGCATTGCTTTCCCTGAACTGGGATGCAGCATGAACCAGTCAGCCAGCCTTGTGTAGCAAATTTCCATATTGAGATTGTATCAAATTGTGGTCAGAGTCAGTTAGGTTTACACCTGTGGGCAATGTTTAAGGTTTGTCCTAAACTAAACAAGACTATCAATATGCAAAACCTTTGATGTTTGTTTTGAAACTAAACATAGAACCCTCTGCCACTATTGCAGTATTTGGAGTCGCTCAACAGGACATACATCTTAGTCGTCAGGAAAAAAATATAAATGCTTTTGCAACTCTTTTAGCTAGATGACTTATACGATTATCTGGCAACTACTGCAACTTGCTATAGCAACTATTTTTAATCTAGAGAAAAACATTGGATACCACTGATACTGAAGTTTTGTACTTTTGATGACAGTTTGTGTTTATGGTGGAGTTACATTCAAACGTAATGATCATTGGACAAGAAATAGTCACACATAGGACACCGTAAAACACAAACTGTCATGCTTACATTTTTGTATTTGCACAGATAAAACAAACAACACATAATCTGTTCATTAGAGAGTCTGGCTTGCTGTTTTCTCCAGTTTTCTCAATATGCTTAACTAAGCAGCTGGAGGGGCTTCACATTTATCATACAATTCTAAGAGTACAATCTACTTTACTGTATATTCGGATATAAGTCAGGGCAAGAAAATGGATAAGTATGTTTGCTTTTCCAACATATTATTTACAAATCTAAAGCTCGTATGTGCTTCTTCTGACAGGAGTTTGAAAGCTGAATCATCTGATTCTGACTCAGCAGTGAATGTGTCTGAGGCACAGAGGATGAGTATTTTCTCCCTCTGGGTATTTACTCTGAGAGGGCATTTAAAATGCTCGCTGTGTGCAACCAGACATGTGCATAACAGGCTTCAGGAAAACAAGATTTCAGCTTATCCTCTGTACCAATGTTGTCAAAGTTCAGACTACAGCTCAAAGTACTGCATGCCAACTGTGTTAACATGCAAGAGCTGGCAAATTAACAGAGTTTGAAAAAAATTTGAAATCTAAAGTTTGCATATTTGCCAGCATACAGTTAGCATTAAATTGGTGGAATTTGCATGAAATAGACGTTTATCAGTTATCTTCTTATAAAATAGACCAATTCTCCTGGATAAACTGGCACACAGTTTTTTAAGGTACTTTGCAAGTAGGTAGCTTAAATCACAGCTTTTCTGTGGATTCAGTCTGTCTCGTATGTCCACCTCTACATCTAAGATTGACTCCGTGGTGTTGACATCAGGCCTCTGTGGGATTCAGACCATCTGTAGCAGCACTTCTTGTTCTTCTTGTGACTGAGGATAGTTTTTTATGAGTCTGGCTGGACCTTGGGTCAAGCAGTATCCTCCAGGGCTAAAAAGTGAGGCCGACGCAAAAAAAAACTACAAACTAGTGTACAAAAACTATTTAGAAATTCAAACGTGTTGGACAAAGATCTGCCTGGTCCCTCTTCTCTCTCTTGTCTTGCTGTCTGTCCATAGTAACAGGAAATAGGAGCATTGTTTACTGTGAGCAGCTGGACGGGTAAATCTAGACAGCAGGGGGAAGGAAGAGATAGCAGAGAGAGGGGGAAAATATACTCTCCTGGGACTCTGTTGGGTCACTGGCTAATACACTCCACATTGCTTTGGCCTGGTTGAGCTCATTTGAAGAAGGGAACGCACTGCAGCACACAAAGATGTCACAAGAGGACAAGATTGGCTGCAGTAACATGAGTCCACGCGCTTTATAAGTGTTCAAATGGTGGCGCCATCCAGCCTATTTAGTCTGACATCCATGAATATGTAGAAGTGTGAACAGGTTGAAGTACCTGCTTGCGGGCCTGGTTGAGGCCATGCAGGCGCTGCTGGAGTTCACTGCGGTAGTTCTGGGCAGCCTCGATGCTTTCTTTCGCCTCCTGCAGCAACACGTCCACCTCCACAGACATCCTCCCGCCTCCTGGCAAACACACGAGAGAAGAATATTTACAAAACACAACCAAGACGCAGCACAACCTGAAACCAGACATTCAGAAAATGCACTTGGAGAGATCATGGAGTGGAAAATAACGATAGCAAACTCTACCTGGCATCAGACGTCATGTCGTGAAGAACACATTTCACAAACTCAGCTGTTTCTTTATGTCACACTTGTTGGATTATTGTCAACTTTTATATTGTTGCGTATCAACAGTTTATAATGTCGAATGACAATGTCAATAGATTTTGTTATAACTAATGTCAAACAGTAACAATCAACAAACGGTATCAAAAAATAATGGCCTTAGAGGAACAGGGACACTGTTTCTGAAAGAAAGAGGATACTAGTGACTTTTCAAATTTTTATCTAAAAATCTAAATTCACCAAAATTAAAAGAAAAAAAATCCCAAACAAAACTGAATTTAACTTCTTTGTGCTGGGGCTCAAATCAAATCATCAGAGGACATCATGGCCTAAGCATTTAGATGCAATAAAATGTAATTTTATTCTTCAATTTGAAAATATCAACTTGTTCTCTCTGTCCTTTGTTTCTGAGTATGTTGAGCAAGTAGAATATTTCCTTTAATTTATGTTCCACTTTCAGTGACACTGTGAATACAGTATTTGAGGCTGCCCTGTGCATGAACACACCAGATACATTTTCAGATAAACACAATGCAATTTAGGGCTGCAAAGAAAGATACACATTTTTGTGTTATGTTTTAAAGCAGTTTTCTCCATTTAATGATTATTATAACAATGAAATGTGTCCAATCTAATAACGCCAGAAGATGAAGTCTCCCTCAAAAAAGGGAAAAACTATCGATGAATTAATTAAACAAACTAAATACATGTGCTTCTTTAAAGTTGTGTTTTTGTGTCTGTTTCTCTTAAAGGGGTTTTCCAGGCTCAGACTGTGCCTTCAGAAGGGGTTCTATGCATGACAGCAAGCATGAATGGTTTGTGCGCAGTGAGTCCATGTTACCTTATTTGACAGAAATCTTTGCATTTCCTGTTTGACTTTCATAAAGAAAATGTCTATTTTGCGTAATTGTCCTTTCACGTTGAGTAAAACTTCCTTGGAGTGGCACCAAATGGAAAAACCCTTTTAACTGATCGAAAAATCTACTCTCTACTTGAAAAACTACAGGACAAAAAAAACAAAACATACTGAGCATTTTGACTGAGGATATGTGGCAACAAGAAAACCACTTCCTACAGCTACCAGCCAGCCTCCTACCTACCAGTCAGTTAACAACAACTTCATTAGACTACAGTATTGGGCTAGATTGATAATAACCTTTATAAACAATATTCACACAAAGTAGGTGTACTTAGCATGCTGTACTGACCCCACAATACCCCCCAGTGAAACCTGGTTGCTCATTTAAAGTACCGTCAGTATAATGAGCTTCTTCCTGTGACCTTAGCATCTGTTTTCAAACGTCACTAAAATAATGCTGCCGCTCTGCTGGATTAGTTATTTTGGCTGCGTGTTAATGTCAAATCCAGTAGCTGTATGGGAAAGCTGATAGCATGAAACAAAGCAACACTAATGTGTAGAGTTCATCTAGTTTTAAAACAACAACCGTATGAACTATATTCTCAGTGTTAACGTCACCACAGTCACTGATAAAACTGCTTCAAAAAGTTAAGGACACATTGCAACTCAACGTCTGCAGCAAAATTACTCACTTTCCAAACCGTATCTATGAAAACAGTTCAAAGTGATAGAAATTCTAACTGGTTTTAACAAAAACAAATTCCTGCTATCTCTGATTATTAGTGGACTTGGAAGTACTTAAAAAACTAGTGGTGCTTCAACATCACACCATAAACGCATCTATTCAATCCAAAATATTGTGTTGACAGCTAATTTTCATTAAATCACAGAATACATATTTTATATACTTCTAATACACCTGTGTGAAGCTGCTAGTCTTTATCATACCCCAACACGTAGGGTACAAACAGCATGAAACCTCTGTAGACAAAACTAATTTCCTTTAAATGTCTTCCTGTAAGAGACGTCTAATTCTGGAGAAAGAATCAAAAGGACTTCAACTGATGATTTTCACCATCAGTTAGTCTATTATTTTATTAAGCTCCCACAGTTTAAGGAGACATGTTGGAACTGTTTTTACTCAGTTGTATATCTAAACTGTTATATTCGAAATGCTGGAGCAAATTAATGTTTGACACTTGTTTACTTAATAAATAACTTCTACTAATAAATAAATGGTTATTACAATGATAGCAAATTCATGTCCTGTTGACAGACTAATCAATTCAATGAATAACACTTTTACAACAGATTAAATCAATGAATCCCTACCAGCCAGTTTACACATAGACAGAAGCATTCATTCAGTAGGTGTGACTTAGGATGTCAATAGTCAATGCATTTTGTACCATTTTTCTATAATCCTTTATCAAAATATTATCAGTTTCTTGAATGGCCATGCATGATTTTTGAATGTAGGTGAATATAGCACTGTGTGACAGCCTTAATTACATTCCCGCTGCAGAATAACTGGCTAAATCTTTAGGTAGTAAAGGCTCATGTGGGATTTATGACTCCTTTTGATAAAAGTGCCTCAGGCAGTAATGTGTTGGATTAAATGTTGTCGTGTTACACAGAAGATGGATCAGATTCTGTCATATGAAATCAGGCTCTTTTTCTTCAGCTACGTCCTTCTCAGGGCTGAAAGCCGTCACACTACCTGACACCCTGCTGTGGTCGACCACGCTTCCTTTACTGCATTTAAAGAGGAAGTCGTTGATAGGCACATGCTTCTGGCACATAGTACAGTATGCTTAATATCACGTGTTCCAGGGTAGCGTCTTACATTCTACTTCGGCAAATGTAGCATCGCCACACTTAATCCAGATAGCGTTTTTTTCAAGCTCCGCATTACATGCAGTACATAGACACCATCTGATAATGTTTACATGCCATGTATACAACAATTAACAGCTTTCAAAAGCCTGCTTATCACAAGACAAGTCTTATCAGTGCTGGAGCTCTCCTACAGTTAAAGACCTATTTTAGTCGTTTTAATACCAAACTATGCAGCATAACACTCTATATGTACAAGAAAATGTGTTTATAATATAACTGTAAAATAAGTAAGGAGCTCTCTGGGTGCTAGATAAAGAAGGTTTAGATGAAAATGTTTGTGTGGGAATAAACTGAAAATTAAGTCCCACACATGCCGACAATAGATGAGCTGTGACTTCAAGTGCTAAACAGCAATTCAGTACATTTTATTTGCTCAAATGGTAAACTGCAAACAAATGATGCTTTCTCCTACACTCTGTAATTGCGGTTATTATAATGATGTTCTGTGGCATGCAGTACACTCACTGTACATTATATACTGAGAGGAGGTTGTCCTAATGGACTAATATATTATGCAGTTTTTTGCCCTTTGGCAAAGTGGAAAAATCTGTCATCCAACACTAGACCATGGTGCACAACACATTTCAATATTGTGTAAGGCTGCAACAAACAACGGTCAAACTAAACATAAAAAAACCCTCAAAAGTTCTAATTACAATTTCCAAGAGCCGTGAGATGTCTTGTTTTGTCCAGCAAGTACAAAAGTGTTCAAATTCTTGCCATAAATTACCAAAAAAAAAAGTAGAAAATCCTCACATTTAAGACTCTAGAGCTGTAGCAATAAGTCTATCAATCTATTTAGCAAAAGAAAATTATTAGAAATTATTTTGCCCAATTTTGTGTTCTCAAATGTAAAGATTTGAAACATTTCTCTGTCGTACATGAACTGAACATCTTTGGATTGTTGCTCAGACAAAACAACTTTGGACTTAAGACATGTTTTACTAATATTACTATTATCTGATGTTTTAAAGATTAAATGTATAATTGATTAATCAAGAAAATAAAAGACAGATTTATCAAAAACAATCATTAATTGTAGCCTTAGCTGGAACCAGCAATCACTTGTGATTTTTGGCTTTAAAAAGGACTTAAGCAATAATGTGATAATCAAAATATTTTCTGGTATACTGCATATAGTAAATACAGAATGGGCAGTTTATAGAAAGTCCCTGAAGTAAACTAAATGAATAATTCAACAACATTTTGATTAGGTCGCACATAAATACACAACCATTAAAGTCCGGCTTATGTATTTATACACACATGAATGCAAATGTAGAGCTACACAATTATGCAGGCATCCACTCCCTCGCTCACTTTGACATAAACAACACCCACAACTAACACTGGTCCTCCTCTCTCTCACACACTCCTCTCTTTCTCCCAACAAAATGCCCCCAGAGCAGCAGCCTTGTTGTACATCCTCTAAAAAAAGGGTGCTGGCCCTCTCTCTATCTCTTTAATCCTGTAGTGGGTTTTGGAGAGAAAGAGGGATTATAAACTAAAGACTCATAAGTGAATTCTGGGCTCTTATCCAAGCAAACGTCAAGCTGGTTTTCCTATGATGCAAAAAAAAAGAGAAAAATCTCTTGTCTGTTTACATGATACGGGTGTGGCTAGACACAAATGAGCAAAAATGCCTCCTCCTGTCCTTATTTCTTTCATGCTTTTGATGTAAATGTGCAGCCTGGGCGTTCAGCTGAGTGCTTTTCAGAGTATTTAGGTCAACCTGCATGGAATGATGGCCCACTGTCCCGCTTTCACAGGTCTGTGAGACTGTTTGTAGTGTCAGAAACATGCGCTTCCTAAAAATGTAGAGACACCAAGTCTTGTATGTGTATGAACATCTTGAAGAAACTTAGTACAGGGCCAAAAAAAGGGCATATTTTCCAATGCAACTAAAGTTAAGGCTTGAGTGTGTTGCTTTTGAGCCTCTGTTTATCATTCTTTGTCATTGTATTCTTAATATCTATTAGCACGCTCAGTTTAACATAGTGTACTATTGCACTTGGGTGTTGTTATTGATAAGCACTTGAATGCCTCACTGAGTTATGATAACCTAAGCTGATCACAAATGAGTATAAAGATACAGCTCCTTGCATCATGCTGCATATGCTCTGACTAACAAGAGAGTTATGAAAGGCATTCAAGTGCAAAAACACATGATTATTATTAGAGCAGACCACTGACGAAAGGAGACAGCAGGAGACATCAGACATGTCTAAACTCGCTCACAAATACTTCCGTATTTTGCAGTTATTTTCAAGTCAAACCCACGCCCACAAGCACTGGGGCTGCCCTAGTCTCCTTTACAAGTTCAAGAATGTGTAAAACGTATAATTTCACAATTCACGCTTCTAATACTTTCGTGCTGGAATGTCACGGGACGTCAGGTCGATGGATGTAACTCTGATTAACTATGTATCTACAGTGTGGACAGAGCTTCAACCAAACTCCGTTAGAAAATCTTGCATTTTTAAGTTCGCGCTGCTGTCAGCAAAGCCACATACCCCATAGTAAAAATATGGAAGCGTTTTTTTAAATAAACAATGTGTTGAAAATAATTCGGCACACAAGCTGTTTACTAAATAACAACTTCATCCATTAAATGCTAGCCTGAAAGTATGGCTGGCGCTGCTTGTTACTCTGGTGGAAGAAGATGAGAATAACAGACCAAGCAGCAAAAAAGTTGTCAAGTATCTGCTTGAAATGGCACTGAAAAAGTGGCACTGTGGTGATGAAGACTCGATATTAGTGATACACAGGAGCCACTATGTGCCAGTTTGTGTCACAACACTGCCACATTTCAGTGAAATTTGTCGCTAGCTTCTCAGAATAACGTTTCAAGACAGAGAGAAAGTTAGGGCTAGCTTGTTGTGGTCAAAAGACAATGAAACTCTGAACATGCTTGAGAGAGCAAACACAACACACCCATTAACTACGACAAAAAAACAACAGCAAATCGATGAAACTAAAAATTCCCCGTCTCGGGAGGAGAGTACTTTCCAAACGTACCTGTTTCAGTGCTTTCTGGTGGCCATTATTTCGTCCCGAAAGTTATGAATCACCTCGCAGCCGCCGCCGCCGCTCGATATATGCCCAAGTTTTGCTCAAGTCCAAAAATGACACTTCCGAGGCTTTAAGGGAAACGGCCAATCACAGAGCAGATTGTTGCGATCGACAGGAAGATCAACCAATTAGATTAAGACGTGATTTGTGCCCCTCCCTAATTAACCCAGCCAAGTGCAACTGATGAAACGAGTTGATGTGAGGCCAAATCTGGGCTATACATGTACTGTGCAGGTCAAAGCTGCGATATATCATGTTGTCTGTATTGAAATATCTGAAAAAACGCCTAGATCAGTGTTAACAGGAGGGAGTAGAGTTACATACCATCAAAAGTTAAAGACTGAAGAGGCTTTGCAGTGTTTTAAAACAACTAAAGTCTGGGTTCACATATTACCATCATTGAGTGCCTTGTGTTTACTACCCTGATTCTATTTATTATCTCTTATTGACAGACGTTTACGTATTTTATGTGGTGTAATTATTGTTTCTGTGGTTACTTTTTGTCCACCTTTTGCTGTATCTTTTGGACAAATGTCAAACTCAAAAGGCCAGATTTCAAGAAAAAAATGTTTTTGTTGAAATTAAGACATTCTGTGATCCTGTCAGTATGATCATAAAATGTTCAAATTGATCTGATAATTCACTGTGGTGCCGCTACTTTTTATCGACCATGTGAGCAAAAATAAACAATAAATTAATATGTTATTGATTTGCGTGTACAACAATATGTCCATTTTGTGTAACAATATTCAAGCCTATAGAAATCAGTAATTTTACTCAGTTTACTCATGTTGTGCTTACCCATTATAGAAGCTATAAGCCTGCAAATTACAATAATTTTCCTTCTTTTTGAATGCATTTGTATGCATCAGTTTGCTGACCCTGGGGCCCTGAAAGTTTACCTGATAGGCTTGTTCAGTAATCCATCCAAGACACTAACGGTTTGACAGAGTGCAGCAGTCTCTGTGTGGAGGTGTGTCGTCCTCTAGTGGTCTACAGTGGATACAGCACTTTACTTTGAAGGAGTCAATGACTTCATTCCGTTCACTCAAACGAGTTTTTGCCATTTTGCAAAGTGCCAGACATCTCTTGGGGGAGAAGAAAATCCACCAGCTTATTTTGGATATCTGTGGATATTCAAAACATGTCGTGAAAATAGCATGAATTTTGAAGCTGTTTTGGGAAAAGGTCAAGAAAGTAGAAAATCCCACAAGTTCAAAACAATGGGTTTCAGGCCTTCAATTTTAGGTCATTGTGATGCAGTTTATTACATGAATCTGCAATACAATACTGAGTATGGCAGACATTATCTGTTTGATAGCAATTAGAAACATAAAGTCATGATTAAGGGTGAGGAGTGATGTGGCATCTTTCTAACTCTGTGACGCCCCAGACTCCCTCAGCAAAGAAAATACAATATTCCTTTTTCCGAGCCTTCTTCCTCCTAATAATGTGCGTATCTTAAGTAAAGCAATTATTTTTACTTAATTTAAAAAAATAATCTTTTACCAGCCTGAGAGAGCAAATTTTAGAAACAAAGATGAGAGGGAGGGAGGAATGTTGACCTTGCGGTTTTAGACTGCGCTGATCTTCAGGTGCATGGACTGGCTGATCGCGCCTCAGCGCAGAGCTCTGCGCAGTAAACTGTCGCTGTTGATGTCAGTGACGCAGTTAGACGCGGATCTGCGCCTGAGCAGACTGTGACAATCCCTTAGATTTGCGCTTGACCTGCAGGATTTGTATTTGGAGAGGCACCTGGATTCATAAGGATCGACACGCCGAGTCAGAGCAGACAGAATGATCTAGATTTATTTTTATGTTCCAGTAAAGACAAGCTTCTCTGTGTCTTTTATATCATGACTGGACTGCATGACTTTACGCACGCATAACTCCAGGACGCATTACTTTTAGGAGAGAAACCCTTTCTAAGTGGCAAAAGTGGAGCTATGGCTGGTTTTACGCAGAGCGCAAATATGCCGATTAGATTGTCTGAGATACTTTTGTTTTGGCAGAATTTGCATTTCGCGGTTGTCTTCTGAGATCTGATAATGTGTGATATTCCTGCTGCTGGTGGAAACGTATAATCCCTCCCCGATTACCGCTCACAGATGGATTGCGTCCTGTCAGAGAGCCGGGTGACATCAGGGCCTAGTCAAATGAATTTAACTGCTATGCTTGCGTCTTGATTGCTGAATTGAAGCCATTTAGGGCAGACAGTCTTGTACGCGCCAGCGGGACCTCAGCTTCTTCATCCGTGCCAACATGAGAAGAACTGTACTCAAAGAAGCCGCCAAGCGATTCCCCTGGCTGGCCAATGTGACTTTGTACGGGTGCTTATTCGCCGGTGGTGACCTAGTCCACCAGCTCATGGCTCAGAAGGAGCGCATGGACTGGAAACACACTCGCAATGTTGCCATTGTGGCAATCAGTTTCCATGGAAACTTTAATTACTTCTGGCTACGAGCCCTGGAGAGACGTTTCCCTGGAAAGTCTGCTGGGATGGTTTTCCGCAAACTCCTGCTGGACCAAAGCTTCGCTTCGCCCTTGGCCACCAGTGTCTTCTACACGGGTAAGTTGGCACATGGACTTTAGTACACATTTAATGAGAAGACATACACAAATTCCAGCTAGCCTCTTCCATCTGCCTCTGTTCAGATGTACGCTTTTGTATGAACGATCCATCTAACATTACCTGATGCCAAAAACATCTAATTCCAAAATCTCAAAGATAAATTAGTTTGTAAGTGGGAATATAAGACTTAAAGCACTAGGGAGTTGAAGTGGCATCCTATCAGTGTTGTCGCTCAATCAAACATCATGTAGGCCAAGGTGAGGCATCAGCTGACATTGTGCGTAATTGCGCACAAATGGGTAACATAAATGCGTTCCCTATCCTGCAGGAGTGAGCTTCTTGGAGGGCAAGGAGGATGTCTTTGAAGACTGGAGGGAGAAGTTCTTCAACACCTGGAAGGTAAGAAAGGCCTCGGCAGCATCAAGCGAAAGAAAGTCACCTTCCCTTTGCACTAGGTAGCCGCTGCTGACAGCTCACAGCCAGATTAACACAGATTGATGCTGCTTTTGCGCAGTAGCTCGGGAGCAAGCGGGGTAATTCAATCGTGACTACAGCCAACGGATAAAAATGTCAGTGAGGTTCCGGACGTTTCTAAGTGCTGAAGTCCTGCCAAATGCAAATCACAGTGTCATGCTGTTCTTAAATTCCTACTTCTTAAATGTGATAAAGTTTAGGATCTGATCTCACGTAACATTATTTTCTTGTTATTTAGAAAGTGAATTTTTTCAAATGTTCTTTCACTTTTAATGTTAGTTTTGATTTCTACTCCATTAAATGTTAGAAGGAAATTTCATATTTTACTGTACTACATCTTGTGACAGCTTTATACTAAGCCTATATGGGGATAAATTATGTTATACATCACTGGAGGCCAGATAGAACTTCCTCCATCACTCTCCACCAGCCTTTAAAGGAGCATTAAATCAATAATAATAATCATATATTAGATAGTGTAACACCAACAGGGGATATTCTGCTGCACAACATGAAGTAGCCTGCTTTTTAATATTCATAAGTACATTTCACTGCACTTTTATTTAACTTGAGAACTCATGATTTTTACTTGGAACAGAATCATTTTACATTGTAGCATTGCTTACTTTACAGAAAGTATCCTTTTTTTATATGAACCATCTCTGAAGGCTCTATTAGAGATTAAATGATTTGTAGATGTTCTAGGGTGCACTGATATGGACGTTCCAAGCAATCAATCATCCTAAAAGTACCGTTAAATCCAGAACAAAGCCCAACTCGTGTGGCACTTCATCACAAAATGGAACAGGAAATGGGATGTTGGATATATAGCATATCATCAGACAGCTAGGACAGATGAAGCTCCTTTACCCCAAAGGGAAAGTACACAGTCCACCTCCACAACTTTGGATGTGGTGTATTTGTTGAAAAAGGAGCATCCTGTGCCCTGGATCTTTACTGCGTCTTTCATTATAATCATTTAAGGCAGTGAGAGCAGAAACAGTTCTTGTGAAAGTACTTTGTACATTAAAAGCACTCATCATTTCTTGTTTTCCTTTTCAGACTGGACTCATGTATTGGCCATTCATGCAGGTAAACTTGGAATCAATTTATTATTTTGTGTGACTCTTGTGAGTCAATAAAGAACAAAAGGATTTCTATTGAAATCAGTGGTTTTGCAGATTTCTGATAAATGTGGTAAATTTGATCAATTGAGTGTCAAAAAGAACCCCACCGTCAGGATGAGAAAGTAAAAGCTTAAAAGTAAAAGTGCAGCTCTCCCAATGTATTGATCATTTACACAAAGGAAACCACAGCCAGTGGTGGATGATACTGACCACCTGGCTGCTACTATTCTCAGACACTAAATTCACAAAGAAAATGGGAATAAGAAAACAACGAGACTGATCTCCCAACCGTAATTATCTTTCTATGTTTCTGTCTTTCTCCCTCTGTGTGTATACACATTTCAGTGTGGCTTAATGTAAGTGTGCAGTCAGTTGTGTATGGAGCACTGCACATCACTCATGGTCTGACTGTATTTGCTGCAAAAATTGAAGAGTATAACAACAATGGAATTGTGGATAAAACACAATAACAGCAGCAACTATGCATTAACACACCTAAAATGGTACTTGTAAGAGCCTGTTGCTCTGGTGCATGCGGGAAGGTTACAGTTTAAGATCACACAAACAATTTAAGTTGTCTCCAATAACAACAGGATATTTGCTTTCTATTACCAATTTCCAATAATAATAATAAAAAAATCTAGTGTCTTGGTCTACATTATTAAACGAGTAACACTTGACTGATGAAAAATGAAAAAAATATGTCTAAATATGTATATGAGTAAGATTTAATCAGATCAGAGTTCGGCTAAGTCTTTATTTCATTAAATCTATAGATCCATAATAATTTCTGTCTGTTCCCTTTGAGAGGAAAACCTTTGGCATTTTCGTGATATCCTGAAATGATG